TTGCCAAGTTTGGGGATCCCTGATTTAAAGTGGCATTCCTAGAATATAAAGTAATTTGAAGATGCTGTATTTACGTTCGTGTTGTGGAACTAAAAATAGAATCTTATCCATCTAAATCTCTGATCTTCAAAATAATTCACTTCATGTTATGTCTTACAAAAGTTTTTTGTTTTGTTTTATGATGGGCTTTAGGTTTTCCAAATGTGGGGAAAAGCAGCATAATCAATAGTCTGAAAGAGGTACGCGCCTGCAACGTGGGACCAGAGAGAGGCCTAACAAAGTTAGTTTGCTTTAATAAAGCATTGTTGTAACAGAGCACACATATGCATAACTACACATGGGTTGGTCTTTTTGGGTCCCACAAGCAACAGTCCCTCAGTCCTTCTCCCACAATCTTTCCTATAATCCTTGGGACTCAGCTCAATGTCTGCTACCACCCACTTTTTACAGAGAAAACTTTTCTGCATCTTTGTCAGGAGGAAAGGTATGGGAAAAACTTGTTTTTCTTAACTTATCTGTTGCTTATAGAGTGGCCAGAATATGCAGCAGTTATACATTGAATTACTTAGATCAATTCATGATATATAAAAAAAAGTTTTATTTGAAAAAATCCTAATTTAAAGTTAGCCTAGATAGCTATTTCCTCCAGTAGGTTCTTTCAAAGTTTTTCTCCAATCCTGTGGATGACTATATTCCAATTATTCTGCCATCTGTTTCCTCATAATTCTGGCTTGTCCATGCACCTGATTCTCTCAACCATTATGTCTCTGTTCTGTTCTGTTAAGGTCCGTACAAGCAGTGCACATTGACAAACGTATCAAGATGTTGGATAGTCCCTGTATCATTGCAGCACCTTCATGCTCTACTCTAACTCTAGCACTGAGAAGTATCACATGTGCTGAAAACCTACTTGATTCCGTAGATGCTGTTCTGAAGCACTGTAGGAAACAGCAGGTAAAGATACTGTACATTCACCATTTGATTATGGGCATTTTATGAGTTTTTGATTACACCTTATTTTCTATAATTCAGAGTAGGGTTTGAGCAGTATAGCTACCGTGTTTCTCATATAATAAGGCTGGGTCTTATTTTTTTTTGAGCCCTGAAAAAATGGCTAGGCCGTCTTTTCGGGGGTGACTTAATTCTCCCCCCCCCTTGCATCTTCGGGCAGGCGGCGACAGCTTGGGTGTTGACCTCGGCGTTGGTGGGGCACTTCGTATCGGGGTCAACACAGGCAGCACCATATCCGGGTGTGCAACAAAAGTACTTCCTAACGGCAAGCCCCCCCCCCACCATTCCCCCCCATTTCGCATGTTTTAATATAGGCCTTAATTTGGGGGGAGGGGCTTAATTTCATTTCATGCCTATAAAACATGCTGGGACTTCCTATTGGGGGAGGCCATATTGTTGGAGAAACAGGGTAGATGACACTGTATTCATTAATTTGGCATATCAGCAAAATGAAATTTTACTGTCGAAAAAAACTTGTTATTGTGATTATATCTACAATAGAAGGGAATATTTATATTCTATTTATACAATAGAGGATATAATTGTGCTCAGTGTGCCACCATTTAGGCAAGTAAGAAATGAGGATATTTGCTATGTCATACTGTTACGGTGATGACATCAGATCCAACTCTGATCTTGCTGTACCCCTTAAATGGTGCTTTTTGATCAGCATTATTTGTTTTCCACATCAGAAAAGTAGTGACTTATATAAACAAATTGGAGGAAAAACAGGCAAGTAGCTGTGGCTGGTTGGAAATTATGTAGGAATGTCTTCATACAAGAAAAAAATTCTGAGAATATAATACTTTGTGGGGGGTTTCTTTTATTCTAGATTATGTTACACTATAATATCCCAGACTACAGGAATTCTCTGGAATTTTTAACTTTGCTTGCTCAAAAGAGAGGAATGTTGAAAAAAGGTGGTATTCCCAATACAGAAGGTGCGGCTAAATTACTGCTCTGGGACTGGACAGGGTAAATATGTGGTCATTTAATTACAATAAAGCCCTCTCGATATATGTGTGTGTGTGTGTGTGTGATGTTTTCGCAGGTATTTATATGTATGGTATTTAGGTTTTTTCGGGTATTTTCCCACATCTTAATATTTGTGCTTTTATTATAGCAATGTTTCGGCAGAATCTCATCTGCCATCCTCAGGCTTGAGATTCTGCCAAAACGTCGCTATAATAAAGGCACAAATATTAAGACGTGGGAAAATACCCGAAGAAACCTAAATACCATACATATAAATATCCGCGAAAACATAACATAACACGTACATACATACATACATACATACATTCAAACAGATGCATTATAAATTTACTGTTTGGTCTTCCAAGCACAGGTCTTTTTTATACATACATATATACATACATAATATAAGCAAGGCTATTTACAGTTTTAAGTATATTTTGCATGCCATGCTATGACATAAAAATAGTATGATAAATTTAGTCTGAAACATTGCTTTTTGCAAAGCATGAAGGGCATGGCAGAGTGTAGAGCAGAAAAAGAGCAGAGATGGGAGGGAGAGGTAGGTAGGTGGAAGGAGTGGACAGGTGCCAAGAAACACCCCCCCCCCCTTTTTTTTAGCATGTGACTGAAAGGGCACTGCAAAAACCTAACTTCAGTGATTTGACATAAGTTCAAGTTCAGCACTATTGCAACTTTGAATGGTTGCTGAAGAGATGGTCATTAAGCAAGGACTACCTGTATACCTATTGCAGTTAATCTGAGTCAATGCTTAATTTAGAACTTGCATGGTGAATACCAAAGAATGAGAACACTAAGATAGTAATAAATCTTGAAGAGAGTTTATTAGGAAATTGTTCCTGAATGTACAGCATCAGAAGGGTACAAACCCCAAACATCCAGGTGATCCCAATGGTGGGATTCAAAACTCTACTCATGAGGAAGTTGGTTAAAAGAGACAATCTTAAAGCCATTTTCCTAACTCTTCTGCCCTTTGGAATGTTTATCTCTGTGTTGAGATAATTAAGTAAAAGGAAATTCATTGGATGATAAAAAAAAAAGTAAAAGGTACACACGGGGGAACTAGACATGGAAAGCAATGCCTAGTGCAGCTCAGTGGAAATACACATGGAAAGAAATCCTAGTGCAGCTCAGGGTGACAAACAAAAGGTTTCAGTGTGAAATCGATTTGGATTTTGTCAATATCAGGTAGCAACTGCCAGGAGGATTCTAATTAACTAATTAAGGTCACTTGTTAACTTCCAGCTAGCACTTTTTAGGAAAGTGCTGTGCTGCAGGGAAAAAGGCAGCTGAGGAAAAGCAACCTCTCTGCCCTGCAGTGGAGAACTGGGACAGGCACTGGGCAAGATGATGCCCTACTGGCTATAATGTTGAACATGTGACTGAGAGAGAGACACTGTAATGGTCACAAATATACATGTTGGCCACTTAGTTATTGTTTCATCACTGTCGTAATTTCAAAGAGGCACTGTCTGAATCAGCTGGTAAACAAGGACTACTTTATATGTATGTATATGCAGAAAGAAATTTAACAGCTTGTTCAGCTATTTAAGGGTTTTTACATTTCTGTTAAAAGAAAAGATGAAAATCTCTCCTAAATGTTCTTTCTTTCAGTGCCAAAGTTAGATACTATTCTCGACCTCCTGAACCATGGGCTCTGTCTCCACATCTTTACAGAGAAGGACCAGCAACAGTACAGGAGGGTTTTAATCTTCAAGAACTGGAAGAAGACAACAAAAATACTATAAACGGTGAGATTAGTCTAACCTAACCTTCTCTCATCTTATATACATATAAGAGCAAAATCCATAATGACCTAGTATAAATTATTGAATGGTTTACATATTACAGAATAGACTTTTTCCAGAGGCTACGTTTGAATTCCATGAAGAAAAAAAAGGTTATGTTGGATGTTTCACATTTCAGGGAAAACAAAGTTTAATCCCTACAAAGATACCAGCATATTCCCTCAACTTAATTCCCAAATTACAATTAGTTTATATAGGAATGTTAACTCTTTTCTCCATCTATTGCTTTTTCCAACATAAAATTTATATATACTAGAAATAATTAAATTTGTTTTAAGTTTATTTCAGTGCTCTTTTGCTTGAAATAGCTTATCCTGATTCTGGTTGAGCTTTATTTGAAAATGCAAATTTATAGTGCTAATTGTCTCATGAACATATCGGGAGTTATAAATAAAATTTTGTTTGTAGTACTTGGAGGTGGGGGAGAGAAAGGTATAACTTTTCCTTGTTTCAATTATTAAAGTCTTCTTTATGCAGCTAGCAATTGGTGAAATACCTGTTGAGGAAGGGTGTTTCTAATTGCCTTTTCTAATTTCTCTTCATATTGCCTATTTGTCTAGAAGTACATACTTGGCTTTATGTTTGATTTAAGGTCTGTTTATAATATTAGCACAATGATAAATCTTGACAAAATTTTAAGAAATTCCAGAATTATAATGGAGTTGGGCAGCTTTAGAAATATGATAAATATTAGGAATATTCATAGCAAGAAAGACATATAGTCATAAATACCTTTGGGGAGGTTTATAACTTTGAACAGTTGCTAAGCGATAGGCCATAAGCCAAGGATGAAATGCAGCTAATGTTCCTCCATTTTTTTTTTCCCCATCATTAAAAAAATAGCAAATAGTCCTGCTAATTAGCAGTCTTGCTAACAAACTCATAATCTTAAAAGTGTTGCAACAGAATTCATTTCTGTGGCAGTTTATCTTTTGGCAAAATGCCCTAGAAAGTTCTGTTTGTTCAGTCAGTCTCTTTAAGGAAGTATTTCTTTTTTAGCAAACAAATACCCTAACCAGGCAAGCACTATTGTCTTCCAATCTCCTGGCTTCACGGATGGCATCATGGAAGATAATGAACAGCCAGAAGAAGCCCTGGAATCAGAGAATGCGGAAGAAAATGATGAAGAATTAACTGAAGAAGAAATTGAGGGTGATGAAAGTGACCTTGATGATGTGGAAAAGGTAACAGTTGAATTTTAAGATGTTTAGGATGCTGTCCAGTGAGATCTTTCCTTGACTGAATTGTTTTTCCTGTGAATGAACCAGGAGGAATACATTTTGAATTGTGTGTAAGGTGGGAAAAAGAAGTCATGTTACACAGACAAAACCCTGTTCAAGTGATATGGGACTTCATTTGAAATATTAAGCAATTTCAAAATATAGTTTGTGGATTCATCACTCAGATTATGAAGAATGGATGTTTAGATATTTGAAACCCTGTTAATACAGAATAATTTTAATTCCTATCTTTAAAATGGAGAACAACCACTAACCTAGAGTATATAAGAAGGTATATACACTGCATCTGGTTTTCCTATATCAGTGATGCTGATGCAGCAATTGTTAATCTTGTTTTAGGAAAGTGACAGATTAATGAGTAGTCAAACACCCTCTGAAGAATTGAAAGCAAAGAATACGAATTTGGACATGTTACCTACAGGTATATATTAAACCTACAAATTTCACAGGAGTAAATATTTAAATAGAAAAAGCCCATAATATTCTGAACTTGGTTTTTTTTTCTTTAGATGATAAACAACTCAAAACCAATGACCTGGATGATGTCTATGACTTCAGTACCGATTACATGTGAAGAAAATATTACAAAATTTCAAGTATTTTTCACATTCTGGAATGCATTCCTAATCTGCTTTTGCGGATACTGAACACCAAACTCTTGTAAATATATTAGAAAAAGCAGCTGATAATGAAAGATACTTTCTGATATAGTATAAATTTTGTTCAGTAAATGCTTTGATCACATGAACTTCAAGCAAAAGTAAAACCAGTGTTTTACAAACAACAATTCAGACTGTAACCTGTATAGGGTTTGTGTTGAATTTATGGATAACAAAGAACTTTCTACTTTCCAAAGTGGAAAAAACTGACTGCATTGCAGAAAATCCTATGGTGGAATGAAAATTATTTTTCTTCTCCCTACAGTAGTAAACTTAGCACTAAGATGAAAGTTGCAGCCTATAAAGGGTAAAGGAACAGGTGAAGATTGCTTCTTTCTTGAATTATGCATTTTTTCATAATTCTGTAGCCATGTTTCCATCATATTAAGGCATAATTATGTTTGTATACAGGAATACATAATGAAGGTTCCTGAGGAAACTATGTGTAATAAGTAAATATAACCAAAAAGTGTACATATATCTGTGATATCTTCCTGCTCAATAGGTAAGCAGTGCAGTCATTTAGAATATGTCAGGAAATCCATTTTTTAAAAAAATGATATAATTGCATATATTTATCTAATTTCTCTGCGTGTATATACAGAGGCAAGAATTTAACTTGTAATGCAGTACAGCCAAAACCCCTTCCCACTGTTTACTTCAAATTGTTTGTTTTCAGACACAGTTTCATGTCTCAGATGAATATAAACATAATTTACACGGTCTACCTAATTCCTGCTAATTAGACAAAAGTGGGTTCTACCTTTTTTGAACAAGAATCATACTTAGCTATTGGATGGCCCACCAGAAGTCACATTCTTCTATGTGACACATAATATTTCTCTAATCATTAAGTTTCTCCTTCTGTTGCATTGTAGTTTAGCAGCAACTTTTGGAGGAGGGACACTCTGGCTTCTACACTTCTGTTACATAGTAACAGATCAAAATTTACTTTTTCTTTTAATTTGTGAACTTTTCTCCTAAATTTCTAATTCTTTTAATGTGCATCTCCCAAATAGATGTTCAAGAAACCCATTTACTGGAAGAAGTAATATATTGTTAAGACATTAGTTTTTATTACAGTTATCAAATGTAGATTAATCTGAACTCACATACAAACAAATCAAGATTTCTCCATGAATTTAAACGCTGTTTTAGTGTTGTTGGGCAGTTTCATCATTTACTAAATGACAAAAACAGATTAAATCTACAAAAGACTTAAATAATAATAAACTAAATACTAAAAAGTTCTAACAAACTTATGTTCATGGGTTACTGCTAAGGAGGAAGTTTTCCTTCTTTAAAAAATAGCTGTGCAAGATAATATTGCACATACTTGGGAGTAAATGTCAAATTCCTAGGTGAAGTTCATTTTGTAATGTTTCATTTATGTCTGAAGAATTCATCTGGTCCAGCGGAGTATATAAGTATTCCTCAATTTAACAACTATTCATTTAAGACAGTTCAAAATTATGCTGGCCTCGGAAAAAGTTACTTATGACCTGTACTTATAACCGTTGCACCATCCTGTGAAGATCATGTTTGCTATGTAGGCACTTAGCAACTGGCTCAGATTCATAACAAGTTGCAACATCCTACAATCACATTGTGATATGTGACCTCTTTTGCAAAATTCCAGCAAAAACATGCCCATTAGGGAACTAGAGCATGTGGTTTGCTTCATGACCACCATGAAAATTTTCATAAAATTGGGTCTGACAACAACCTACAATGGAAATTCTGGTCTCATTTGTCATAAGTCAAAGACTACCTGTAGTTGATAAGCTATTCTTCATCTTGTACTTGAAGGCACAGAGCCGCTGCTTCAGGCATACAATTTCAAGTCTTTCTCAAATTTAGTGTACATTAAACAGACATACCATTACTGATTTCACCCTGATTTTACAGGTTTCCTGAGAAAAACATGTAAGTGTTAGGTCTTTATGAATGTGTTGCATAAATATCACCGTGCCTGCGAATCAGGTTAAATTTGCCACTAGGATCAGGAATGTACCATTTTTCCCAAACATCTGCAAAGGATGCTGTTCGCCCCCAGGGCTTGAAATGTCCATTCCAGTGGAGTAATTTGGCAGCTTTCACAAACTGTGGTGAGTATCTTTTGCCGGCACTTGAACCTTTAAATGGAATAAGTCAAGAAATATAATAGGCAGAAGTTGTTTCTGCAGTTTTCAACCACAGGTGGAATTAACCATTTGGTAGGTTCACACATTGACATTTTCATCAGAAATATTTTCTTTGTCACTGCTTACTACCCTCAAAATTGTACATGAAAGTTTATTTTAGAGTCCTGAAGGTGATATTCTTACACTAAACTAATCACTCAATGCATATTGAAATTCCACACAAGTTTCAAGTACGCTTTTTAAAAAGGTCAATTTTCTTAAGTAAACAATCATTTGATACTCTCCCAGAAGAAAAGCAATCACTTTATTGCAAGGGATGAAAAACACCCTATTAGTGAATTTCAACTCATACAGTGGGGGCTTCTAGGTCCACAGGAGCATTAAAAAAACACTTCATTTAAGAGATTTTGAGCATGCATGAGAAACAGCAAGGGACAGAAAACTGCATGTTCCCATTTCATCAATATTCTGTCCAAAATCATTAAATTAGTACTGAAGGAGGGGGAAAGTATTATAATCTCAACCTGTTTGATTAGTCAAATTACTTTCAATTTGATAAAGGTACAATATTAACATGAAATTGCTTTCTTCTCTCTACTTACCAAGATGGCGAACATTCCACATAGGGTTAATTTTTGAATGTCGTTTGTAAAATACAATTAGCAAAGGAGGTGTAGTGATACTTCCAGCAAGAGTCCTGCTATATATCTCTTCTCTAGTCAGAGATTAAGAAAATGCAGATTACCAGCTAAACCAAAAGCATAATTAACAAGAAAAACCATGTTTGTTTTTTGCATTTTTTTAAAAAAATACTTAATGGCAAACACTATTCACAATGAATAATTCACATTGTACCTTGGATTAGACTCTCTCCTATATTATATAGCAGAATATAGCAGCAAAAATCAATACTAAGCAACATACTTCAGAAATTGTGTGGAACTAAATGGGCAGCTTCAGCCCGTGGGGTTAGTCTACTCTGCAGCAGAATACTGTGTTCCAGTATGTCTTAACAGCTGCCATACTAGTAAAAGAATTATCCGACACCATGAGGATTATAAGTATGTATTAAAACCACTCTGACTTGGTTGCTTCCTGTTCTGAGCCATATAGCACTTCCAGCTTTATGAAGGCAAGATGCACCAGTGAGAATACATTAAAAAATATGAACAATTCACTCCTACCAGTGCCGACGTTCCTCATTTATCAGCCAGAAGATTCCAATCCAGGAAATCCCCACTGGCACTTGCACAACATCTGCCCAACAATTTTAACCTCAATTTCCAATGGGAAGCCAAATGGGTTGCTGAATGCCCAGACATAGGAAGACATACAAATGACCCCACAAAAAAGGTGCCAGGCTTTGAACTTGGACAATCCTGAATAGGATTCATACCTTATATGGTATCTGCCAAGACTTTATAAATGGGACATAGTATCCTCAGTGTGACGGCTCCCATGTCAAACTGTAGATCACACTCTGACCCATGTCAAACTGTAGATCACACTCTGACCGGCTTAAGCAAAGGGCATATATATGGTGCAGGATTTGATTTTTTTCAATATAAACAATGTTGCACTTCAATTGTTAGATGGCCTACTACTACACATTAGTATTTGAACACAGATCTTTTTAACATTTATATTCTATTGTGTTTTACTAATCTAGGTGAAATGTCAATATAGCTAATCCATGTATGATATGCCATATGATAATCACATTCTTAACAATGAGCTAGAACACACAATAAAGGAAGTGAGTGATAGCAGAACACAAGACAATCTGCTTCAAATAAGAGATCCCTGTAGGGGTAAACCTCCCATACAATGATTTAGCACTGCCAAGATTTGTTTTTCTTAGACTAATGCCTTCCTAAATATTTTGGACTGCTACTTGCAGAATTTTCAGATGCCTAATAGACAACAGGTTCAGGAAGACTGATAGGGAAGACAAAGACAATTCACCAGGGTATTTTTATCTCTGCTTCCCATGCTCATATATATACAATTACAGTGGAACCTCGGGCCGTGACTGTAATTCGTTCCAGGATTTCGGCTGCAACCCGATTTGGTCATGACTGGAAACACGACCATCTGTGCATGCATGGACAAAAAACAAATAATTGGCGCCGAAGGGGAAATCGGCATGGAAAGGGAATTTTTCCACGCTGATTTTGCCCGCCACCCAATTTTTGAATTGTGACCCGGATTTTTTGGTCAGAACCCGATTTGGTCACGAACAGAAGCGTTCACGACCCAAGGTTCCACTGTAGTCCCATTCTCCAACTATCAAATAAAAAAAAAACTGGACATACTCACACAACATTAAGTGTCATCCATTTCTCTAGTTGCTTAGTAACATTTTGTATTTTCCATTCTGTTAGATTTGCAACAAACACACCAGGATTGAAAGAGCAGGTGCTTGCTTTGATGGACAGCTTCCGAACCAGTTCTTTTTTATAATCAAGAAATCCCATGTAATTATACTGAAAATAAATAGAAATTGGGCCTCAGATAACAGTTTTATTCCTAATTTTCACTCCAAAGACTTCTTCACTTACACATGCTTCCTTTCTGTGTGGAAAACCAGAAAATTGGACAGAGTTGTCTCTAATCACCTTAAATTATTTTAAATATATATATTGGCAGGCACCATCAGTAGTTACTATGAAAGCAGGAATTACCATATCTACGCAGAACATAATGTAAATGACCTTTATACAATAGGTTTTCCTTTTTAGCCATCCCATTAAAAAAAAATCATTGAATCAGACTTGATTTTGGATTATTAGGTTCATTTTCCATGTTCCTTTCTGAGTGTGGAAGTGGCCTGTAATTGCCTTTTTCCAAATTGAAATGTTTGACCTATCTAAGCCTTGGATTTCCAGAAGTCTCACAAGTACTAACTTGCCTGAAAGAATTATAAAGCAAATAAGCAGGAGACTGGTTATAGGGGAAATTCTGTTCTGGCTATAATTTCTATTCTGTCTCACTGCCCACTTAAAAATATCTTCCTATGCAGTGTGTACAGTCTGATGTATAGTTAGTCTTTGTTTAGCAAGTTTGGAGTTACGACAGTGATGAAAATGTAACTTTACAACCAACCCTCACTTTTATGACCTTTACAGATCTGTAAAGTAAAGTAAAGATGAAATAAGATAAACATTTATGTGGTTTCACTTAGCAACTGCTTTTCTTAACTACCAAGTTGCTAAGTCCCACTTGTCACTAAAAAGGACTACCTGTAGTGCTTAAGGTATTGGGCTAGAAACAGGAATCATAAGTTCTAGTTCTGTCTTAGACATGAAGTCAGCTGAATTACTTTAGGCCAGGAACTTTTCCCTAGGAAATGGGCAGTGGCAAAACACTTCCAAAAATATTGCCAACCAAACTGGAAAGACTAGTCCAGACAGTTACCAGGAGTCAACACAAAAAGAGTAATTTGCATGTAATAGAAAAAGGTCTGTTTCCTTCTTTCTGCCTCCTTTTCACCCCATGGTTGTTAGTTGCAAAGTCATGTCCAACCCGCGTGACCATGAACAACATTCCTCTAGGCCTTCCTATCCTCTACCATCCTCCAGAATCCATTTAAGCTCACGCCTACAGCTTCAGTGACTCCATCCAGCCACCTCATTCTGTCGTCCCCTTCTTCTTTTGCCCTCAATCTTTCCCAGAATTAGGCTCTGTTCCAGTGAGTCCTCCCTTCTCATTAAGTGGCCAAAGTATTTGAGTTTCATCTTCAGGATCTGTCCTTCTAAACAGCAGTCAGGGTTGATCTCCTCTAGGACTGACCGGTTTGATTGCCTTGCAGTCCAAGGGACTCATAGGAGTCTTCTCCAGCACCATAGTTCAAAGGCCTCAATTCTTTGGCGCTCAGCCTTTCTTATGGTCCACTTTCATAGCCATACATTGCAACTGGGAAAACCATAACACTGACTATATGCACTTTTGTTGGCAAAGTGATGTCTCTGCTTTTCAGTATGCTGTCTAGATTTGCCATAGCTTTCCTCCCCAGGACCAAGCATCTTTTAATTTCTTGGCTGTAGTCCCCATCTGCAGTGATCTTGGATCCCAGGAAAATAAAATCTGTCACTAGCTCCATTTCTTCCCCATCTATTTGCCAGGAATTGAGAGGGCCGGATGCCATGATTTTAATTTTCTTAATGTTGAGTTTCAAGCCAACTTTTGCACTCTCCTTCTTCACCCCCAACAAGAAGCTCTTTAGTTCCTCTTAACTTTCTGCCATTAAAGTGGTATCATCTGCATATCTAAGTTACTTGCTAATCAATGACAAAGATTAAATTGCTTTTGATTACCTCAAAAACAGTAATGGTTCTCCTTGAAAGATGGGGAACAAAAGCATATTTCCTAGTACCCTAAAGAGAATTAAAGACTGCCTACATAAATAAGCATGCATTTGCAAAAAGCTTTAAGCTAACAAATTATTTAGGTTCTTTCTCACTGATAAAGTTCCAATCATGAAACATATCAGGAAGAAGCTACTACTTATATTTTTAACTTGAAAAAATGCTTTCCTAAAATTGGCTATGGTACTAAAACTTTTCTAAAAGTTCCAAGTCAAAAATGGAACCAGATAATTACAAGGATCTTCTAACATCTAGGGTCTGTCATTCTTATTTATTCACATTTTTATAGCCGCCTATCTCAAGCAAGCAACTCTGGGCAGCGAACAATCATAAAACAGTTAAAAACAATTACAACATAATACAAATTCAATATTTCAGAGCTGCTTTCACCTGATTTCCTGCTCCACGGACAGAAAACTTATTTGAGGTAGAGTCGCAGTCATCCGAGAACGCCACCGCATGGCCTGGTTGCAATGGAGTGTTGTAAAGTTCAAGGATATCATCTGAAAATGCATCACACGCAATGAGTAGCTGCTACTGCAAGCCAATGAGAACCTGTATTTTGTCATTTTAACATAAATGTCTCAATAGTTTTTTCCAATATTTAGAATATACATACTAGCAGTAAATGCTATTCCAATAAATGCCATGTAAGGCTTAAAACTCGTACCTGTCTACCCAAAGAGCTTTCCCACTTGAACAAAAGCTTATGCACAACAAAGTAAACAAGCTTTAAAACAAAGGGTATCTCTCAGGCAATTTTGTAATACAATATGGGCATATGCTGGTAAAAAAGCTTATAGACTGATACTATTATTTAGATGAAGGCCATAATCATGCATCCAATAATTTCAAAATATTTTTATTTTATTTTCAATTTATATTTGTACCTGTTAGAAATGAGCTCATTAGGCTACTGTGAATTCATATTTCAGCTGTCCCAAAGGTGTTTTTTTTAAATTTTCAAAAGGCAACTTGTTGAGGTAATTCCCCATTAGGAGAATGAGCGCATACAGGGAGACTTATTTGAGAGTAGTGTTTGAATAATACACACACAGCACACAGATACACTGTACAGTAAATGTAGGTTTTTAGTTCCAGAAGGTTTAAGCAAAGTTCAAAAATAGGCAGTCCAAAAGTCATTCACAGGTAAGATCAGTCAGTTTTCAATCCAGGGGTAATCCAGTAACAAAGTCTAGTGTCAAAAACAGTTCAGTGTCAGACTTACATCAAATCCAGGTATATCAGTCAATTAGGAAAAATGGAACGGCAATACTCTCCAACAGAAGGAAACAGAGACTTACTCACACTCTCTTCTGAGACTAAGACTTAGACAAACCAGGTTTCTGGCTCCATCTTATGGCCCTTTGAGAAACCACACCCAATTGCAGTTTTTTATTTTCTTAAAGATACAGTTTTAAAATGTTTATCCTGGTTTATATATTTCTAACCCAAATACCTGTTAGGTGACTTATATTCCAAACACAACTGCACTTTCTTGGTTTTTTTCTTTAAAATAATTTGCTTCTCATACAAGAAGTTTCTTCAGTTATGGGACAACCTTTGGGCAACCATGACCTGGATGATTGAGTATCTCCACAGACAATATTTCAGCTAGAAGTAAATTATTACCTTAATCAAAGTTTATATTCAGATACACAGTTTATGCCTTCTACTCGTGACTGCCCATTTTAATCAAATCATTCTAGATAGCCAACAAGCATAAAAAAATAAATCCAGATATATAAACAACAGGGGAAAAAAGATGCCAGATTAAAAGTTTCAGTCAATTGATGCAAAAGTACAATAACTTTGTTAGCATTCTCACTACTTTCTCTAGTGTTAATCTCCCTCCCTCCAATTTTTCAATTAAATGTATCGGCAAAAATGCTCTTGGTTATTTTACAAAGGCTCCATATTTTCAGAAGATAAAAATGAAGCATAGCTACAGTCTGTTTTGTTTGTAAATGGCCTCATCTGCATAAAATAAACAAGTAGCCTGGTGATTGATCATGAGATTGCTATGGTCTCAGGGATGACAGCAGGTATCAATTGGTACACTATGAAATGTGATGGTCACTGCTACCATAACAGATGTTTTGTGACTGCCTATAAGCGTACAGCACATTCTTCAAACAACAAATATGAACACTGGCGCAAACAATTGGGAGGTCTTACAACAGAGTTTATTATAAAGTTTTTGATTTATAATGATTAATTAATCTAAAGCAGGCAAACACATTTTTTTCAAGAGCTACTTTTGGTTTTTCAGTGTGCCAGAGAAATACTGTATTTTTTGGACTATAAGACGTACTGGACCATAAGACATACCTAGATTTAGAGAAGGAAAACAAGAAAAATATTAGTTTTTGGCCTCTGCACATCCTGTTTTCGGCCTCCCCGGGCCCCCAGAAGCACTCTGCAGGCCAAAAATGTGCCTGTTTTTGGCTTTCCAAACCCTCCACACATGCCGTTTTTGCCCTCCCCGGTATCCAGAAGCACTCTGCAGGACAAACTGGGATGCATGGAGGGTTTGAGAGGCCAAAAATAGGCCCGTATTCACTCTATAAGACACACAGACATTTCCACGCACTTTTTTGGGGGGCGGGGGGGGGGTTGTCTTATAGTCCGAAAAATACAGTACACTACAAAAAAGTAGGAGGAGGAATCGGGATGAAAATTGCAATGATTGCTGGGAGCTGAGATCCCAACACACCTCACTGGCACCAGATATGGGGAAGGTTGATGTGTTGAAAGGCAACTTATATGTCATTAAGCATATTTAAAAAGCAAAGTCCCATACCTTGTACAATCACATCATCATCCAAATAAATGGCCTTTTCTGCATTTGGGACCCACTTAGGTAGATAGAATCTTGCAAAGGTCAGCTGGAAAGAAACAAAAGGTGTGACAACTCTAAAACGACCATATAAATATTTTATGAGTTGACTTGGTGATAAAAACAATTATGACATGGCAAGCATTAGATAATTGTAATCAAATCTCTTTGATACACCTTCATATAATACAAGATTAAGTAGGAATATTGGGGCAACTTTGGTGAATAAGATGTAAATTACCGAAATTACCCAATTAAATCAGATATGCAAAAGAGAATTAAGGATTATAATATTAAAAGACAACTTTCTCAAAAGTATAATAACTAAGCATATTTTCAAACAAAAATATCTATCAGTAATAGTGAAAACATTATATTTACAGTGAAATAAATCAGTCGTTCTTACCGGTTTTATGGAATTTGGCATCTTTGAATCTATTCGTACTTTTCCAGCCAGCATGCCAGGATCAAAATTCAAAATTTGGTATTGAACATTTTTTAAACTGGTTTTACTAAGCCATGACCTACACAATTAAAAAAGAAATACAAATATCAACTATTACTGAAATAGCTGGAGTGATATCCTACAAAAATAATTCTTCGAATTTTCTCATCATGGTATATCTTGTAACAATCAAAAATAGGACAGAGTATGACAATCTGAAATCCAGTATTACATAATAGAGACCCAATAATGGTTAAGGTACCAATAAAAAAACTAGTAGACTGAGCATTTTAGTCCCACTTTAGGTAGAAATCAGCTGGTGGTTTTGGGTTAATTATTCTCAATCCTACAAAGAAGGAAAAGGCAAATCACTTCTGAAAATATTACCAAGAAAATTGTATGAACCAGACTGACAAGGAAGGAAGGAAGGAAGGAAGGAAGGAAGGAAGGAAGGAAGGAAGAACAGCTGAGAGTGCATAAACTACAAAAATGACCCAGAAGAAGTGGCAAGTGTAGCACCTCTTAGTACTCACTAAAGCAGCCACTTTTCTTTTCAAGAGTCAGGAAGCTGAAAAAAAGAGGTTGCTTTAAAAGTTGCTTTAAAAGTCAAATAATTATTTTGGTCAAATAATTAAAGGGCATATAATAAATAACAATCTCTTTCTTATTAAATATAAGAATAACTATCTTTTTCCAATGCACTAATGCATCTAAAATCATCCTTCACTAAATAAGTGGGCAATAACATTTCACAAATATGGTTTTTACCTCAGATGATCCACAGTGTCATTCAAAGTGACAATATGGAATGCAACATTAGATTTGGTGTTTTGCTGAATACTGTTCACAACTGCAATTACACCACCAAGCCTTTCTTCAGATGCCGTAAGGACCACAGGAATTTCCTTGTCATTTTCTTTCACTACCAATCTTTGAGGAGCTTCAGGTATAAAATCTATTGTATGAAATCCTAGTGGATTTGAATCTACAGATAAATTATATAAAGCATGACATTTTGATATAGCATGTTGAGTGACTTCAGATTTTTTCTTAGGTAAACCAAGGTTGATGGTACAATATGTAAACTCAGTTATGGTTTATTTAATAAACCTTGGCTAAAAACCCATGGTTAAACAAACCCTAGCTACTGTGATGTTGAAACCAATGATAATCTCTTAAAGATAATCTTATAAGGCAACAATTACTTTGAAGTTATTTACAAACAATACGATTGAAGTTATGGCCAATATAGAATCTATATTTTAACATTATTTTATATTTTACATTAAATAACTGATACAAAAGATGCAAATGAATGTATTTCAGCTCAGGTACCATGAAAATAGCCATGCTACACAGTGACTGTTTCATTTTTAACAACTTCTAGTGAGAAACGCTATATAACAGTAAAAGTAGACAATTACAAAGAATTGCAAATGGACGGCAATAATTGTTAAAAGTATGGAATCAAAATTTATTTTGATTCGTATTTGCCACCATTCGTATTTGCCACAATGCAAATACATTTTTACAGGGGGAAAAACTTGCTTATAAAAACATATACAAGGGTATTTATTTCCTATCAAACATTTTTACTGAAGCATATTAAAATAGGGAAATAAGAATACCTGATAATTCTTTTTTTAAGAGATCACTGAGACCTAGAAAGTTGTGATGCAGCACTAACAGAAATATAACAACAACCAATATGAGGATGGCTATGTTTACTGCAATGAAAAAAGAAAGCCATTGTTAGAATAGCAGCATCTGAGTATTTAACTTTTAAAAAATAATTATTTAGAGGAAAAAGTACCTTTTCTTAATGACATTTTCTTTGTGGATGAAAAACAAAATCTCTTGACACGTCTACAAAAAAGGAACACAACTAAGAAAGTCTCCACAAACACGTAAAGAGATACAGTAAGTGATAAGGTATAACATTCACATGTAAGTAGTAATAATGTACATAATGAGGAACAAAAATTTGGGGAACTGTCTGATTTCCAACATGTGCCTAGAAAAAAACATTTTGAAATATAATTATGTAATCATATGTAATATGACTGTCGTGTTTCTCTGAGTCGTATATGTGTGTGTACGTGGGTATATGCATAATGGTTATCATTTGAGAGCTGAATGCAACAAAATTTAATTTTAATATATGCTGATTAGTGTACATTTGAAGTGACTATCCTATCCTTATCCCTATTCCTATCCCTATCCTATTCTAATCATTGACCAGAGATGTTTTTAGGAAAAACAGACATTTACCATACTTAGTAATTCAAGAATGAAACAAGGATAAAAGTTCCTCCTAAATTCAGCAAGTATATAAAAAAGACAGAATTAGGAAACAGAACTTATATATACTATTTTAGGCCTTCATTCTCAATGTAATTAAATTATCTGCTGCCAATCTAAAGAGAAGTACCTGTCTAGAAGAGAAACAATTTTGTCTCGGCTGCAGCCAAATTAGGGAGAGCTGACTTCATAGTTTGGTAATCCTGAGCTATCCCTATCTTACTTCTTACACCACAAAACATTTTGCACTGATGACAAATATTTTCACTGTTGCCACTACATTGGCTTTTATAGGCACATATTACAAGCTGCACTTTGCACATGTGAACTGTTTACATTCAACTGACTTACACTTCTGTAAGCCTTAACCATTCAATAAATGAGGAATTTGAGGCTAATAAACATATTAATAAAGATTCCTGTGACATAGCTTCTCAATTATCATAATCAATCTGTAATCCTATACTGTACAATAAAAGCTATATTTAAATGAATTCATAAATTGTGGGAATTTAAGGTGAATAGAATCTGTCACATCAACCACATTTGGCATACAAACTTAATGACTGTGTATTAGTTCATATACACTGCTCAAAAAAATAAAGGGAACACAAAAATAAGACATCCTAGATCTGAATGAATGAAATATTCTTATTAAATACTTTGTTCATTACATAGTTGAATGTGCTGACAACAAAATCACACAAAAATTATCAATGGAAATCAAATTTAGCAACCCATGGAGGTCTGGATTTGGAGTTACACTCAAAATTAAAGTGGAAAAAAACACTACAGGCTGATCCACCTTTGATGTAATGTCCTTAAAACACATCAAAATGAGGCTCAGTAGTGTGTGTGGCCTCCACGTGCCTGTATGATCTCCCTACACCACTTGGGCATGCTCCTGATGAGGTAGCGGATGGTCTTCTGAGGGATCTCCTCCCACACCTGGACTAAAGCATCCCCCAACTCCTGGACAGTCTGTAGTGCAACGTGGCATTGGTGGATGGAGTGAGACATGATGTGCTCAATTGGATTCAGGTCTGGGGAACGGGCGGGCCAGTCCATAGCATCAATGTCTTCGTCTTGCAGGAACTGCTGACATACTCCAGCCACATGAGGTCTAGCATTGTCTTGCATTAGAAAGAACCCAGGGCCAACCGCACCAGCATATGGTCTCACAAGGGGTCTGAGAATCTCATCTCGGTACCTAATGGCAGTCAGGCTACCTCTGGCGAGCACATGGAGGGCTGTGCAGCCCCCTATTTGCCAATCATGGTGTTCTCAGGCAAATGCCAAACATCCTGCACGATGTTGGGTTGTAAGCACAACCCCCACCTGGGGATGTCGGGCCCTCATACCATCCTCATGGAGTCTGTTTCTGACCGTTTGAGCAGCCACATGCACATTTGTGGCCCGCTGGAGGTCATTTTGCAGGGCTCTGGCAGTGCTCCTCCTGTCCCTCCTTGCACAAAGGCGGAGGTAGTGGTCCTGATGCTGGGTTGTTGCCCTCCTACGGCCTCTTCCACGTCTCCTGATGTACTGGCCTGTCTCCTGGTAGAGCCTCCATGCTCTGGACACTACGCTGACAGACACAACAAACCTTCTTGCCACAGCTCGCATTTATGTGCCATCCTGGATGAGCTGCACTATCTGAGCCACTTGTGTGGGTTGTAGACTCCGTCTCATGCTACCACTAGAGTGAAAACACCGCTAGCATTCAAAAGTGAACAAACCATCAGCCAGAAAGCATAGGAACTGAGAAGTGGTCTGTGGTCACCACCTGCAGAACCACTCCTTTATTGGGGATTTCTTGCTAACTGCCTATGCTTTCCACCTGTTGTCTATTCCATTTGCACAACAGCATGTGAAATTGATTGTCAATCAGTGTTGCTACCTAAGTGGACAGTTTGATTTCACAGAAGTGTGATTGCCTTGGAGTTACATTGTGTTGTTTAAGTGTTCCCTTTATTTTTTTGAGCAGTGTACTTCATTTATCTTGTGGGTCATAATTTGTAATCCCCTTGTAACCATGATGCTTTATAAGAAGGCAGTGTTATCAAAACTGCAATATTAAGAATTCAGGGAACTAAAATTATATTCCATGTAAAAGAAATGGGAATATTTAGCACTAAGATAAGAAGATAAGGGGTACATTAACTTTGAAATATTTCAAAGAATGCTATAAGAACATAAAGTGCTTACTAGATCACACCAAGACCCATCATGATCCTCTTAAATCACTTTTTTTCTCTAATGAGTCCCAAATGTTCTAGTGAGGTGTTTTCTGATCATTTTGAATCACTTTTCTGTATTTCCCCAGCTCTAGAATCTTTTTAGTGCGATTACTACAATTGTACAAAATATTCAGGTGCAGACATACTGTCAATTTATGATAGAGTAATACATTAGCTGTTTTATTTTTCATCTTTTTCTTGCTGAACCTTAAGATGGAATTTATCTAGTATTTCTTAACAGCTGCTGCACATGGAAACAGCATCTTCGTTACCTGCTACAATACTAAAAATTCTTGATTACAGACAGCTCAGATCTCTTTAATGTTGAGTATGTATGAAGCTGGGGGAAAGTATAGTGAATATATCTCACTTTATTTTAGCTGACCTTCAATTAACATGTATTCTCTCTATAGAAATCCAATGAATTTGTTCAAAAAAAAATATTTTTAAAACCCTGAAAAGTTTGGTATCATCTGCAAACGTGACATTCACTAAATCACTCTTTAATCAAGATTATTGACTAAATCTGTAAGAGATACTTCAATTTGGATACCTATACTGATTTGGGGGTGGGGGGAGCAGTAGCTTAAATGAGCTCTTCAACGTTCTACATGGTTTATTCCCACAGTGTCTTTCAAATTATCAAAATCTATCAATATTATACAGACACAGATTAAGAGTTGGAAGGGACCTTGTAAGTATCTAGACCAACCCCCCCACCCAAGCAGACCCTACACCATTTCTGACAGATGGCAGTCCAGTCTCTTCTTAAAAGCTTTCAGTGATGAAGCTCCCACAACTTCTGAAGGCAAGCTGTTCCATTGGTTGACTGTAAGTGCACATTTTAAGACATTCACTGTCATATAAAATTTGCTCAAGAATCAACCATTATTGTTAGCTGTTAAGTTTCAATTAGTCAGGTGACTGCAGGGACAAATATGGAGCATGTTGCTCTTCTGCAGCTACATAACTGATGCTCTGCAAATGTTTAACATGTTCTCTCTTCAATGTTTCCTCCTCTCCTTTCCATTAGGTAATCCTGTTCCAAAACGCCTAGCTAGCTCATTATTGCTGCAAATGACACCAGTTATTTGCAAGCGACATCACAACCCACCCGTTAAAACGAAACTACTGCTACTTTTCAAAAGGAAACCCCATCACTCGCTTGTCTTCCATCCCCCTCGCTCAGAGATGCTAGCCACCCGACTAGATGATCCACTGCATATTAAAAAGGGAAATGTATCATATCTGCATAAGATACAGTATAAGTCTTATTATTCATTTCACATCATTCCAGCAGTTCAATCCCCACAGTATGGCAAGCAGGCCGGTCTATTCCCACGAGTCTTACTTGCTGGCCCAGAATCCAGAGATCCTTCTAGTCCTCCCTTCCCTTTGCACAGTCTGGCGGCCACGCGCGAATTGCCAACTCAACACCAAGTACACCAAGTGTATTGTAATCACCAGCTGGAAAAATAAAAGGTGCCTATCATAGTGCCTGATTATTATTATTTTTTTAAAAAGCGATACGTAAAGAAGCGCGTTCAACAAAGTGTTAATGCCAAATACGTCACCATAACTGCACCTTTTGTGTGTGTGCGTGTGGTAGAAAACAAAAACAAAAACAGAGCGGCAATACACTAGACGCCACCTTCACTAAGACCCAAATCTCACCAAAAGGTTGGAAAATGCCTCCTGCGCTTGTTGTCATGGTGACGAACTAAGACTCCACGGTTGGCCGCGAGCCCTGTGACGTCATAGCGCTATTGCCAGTCGACCGACAGACGGCAGCATCCGACAGCGGAGTTGGCTTTTCTCTGGAATGAGTCCAGGAGGGGAATAGCCCCGACGCCCCGCCCGAGCCGAGCCGGAAATTCAAAAATGATGAGGCGGGGCAAGAGGACGTCGAATCCGGTATGCCCGAGAGCGCCCGCCTTACGGCAGAAAGCCGTCTTGATCAAGAAGCCGGAAGCGCCCGTTGACTGTTCATCGCTCGGCTCTCCCGCCTCCAACGGCAACTCTCAGGGCGACTCTTTCCAGCCGCCGGAGAGCAAGCTTCCTCCCTGCAGTCCCGAGGAGCTCCCGTTGCCTCCCTTCCTCTCGGAAAGCGCTGACGGCTGCAATAATCTAGACGCCGCTGCTGTTCTGGGCACCATGCTCAACTTCTTCCGATCCATCCCGACGCAGATGGTAAGGCGGGGGTGTCCCGGGACTTGCCTCCCTCGCCCACCCCCGCCCACCCCCGCCCCTCACCAATGCCCCCCCACTCCCGCCCCCCACCAGCGGAGGACAGAACTATGCCTGCCGCCCGCCCGACTTTGAGGTCGGGCAGGAAGCGGTAAAGCATCCAGGCATTCAGATAGAAACTGCCTGGCTGTCTGGGCTGATAAGGAGACGTGTCCTAAATAGAGGCGCCCGAAGGTCCGATGACTGATAGGTGCCCATTAGGCGGAAAGATGTACGGTTCGGAATACAAAACAAAAAGGCTCCGTTGTTCTACGTCCTCTTTTCCACCCCGTTTTTGAATTATTGTCTCGAGTTGTGTAAAATTCAATACCTTAAAATAAGCTTTTTGTTTCGGTAGGGTTTTATCAGTTATCTCATAATGTGGATCAGGTGGATGGCTTAGGTAAAACAAAAAGTAACTATCAGTTAAACGTATTTAACACACAATTCTATTTCAAAAAGATAAAATCTTGGAAAATATTGAAACACTAAATTAACAATATTACATTGATTATTTTCTAAAGCAGCCTAGAGTAGCCCCGCAGTCAGATAGGCAGCAAATAAATTTAACAAATAAAAGACCTAGGTAAATAAGATATTACATACTACTGACAGAATATTGATATAGATAAAATAAGTGTTGCTCAACATATTTTCTCCCTCAAAAGTCTCTTCCACTATTTAAAGGAACATTTGGCAACATTAATAACTTTCGATAAGAATAAACTTAATCCCTGTGATGTGCGAGTGCCAGGTCAGTGGGATTTATTGATAGAGCTTTAAACATCCTATTCTTTTTTGAGGTTTACCATAAATTGGGCAGACTAGACTTGTTGATTCCTCCTTGTTTTCCAAATTGACTAGACTTGTTCAATTGATTGTTTTGTTTGATTATTTATTTGAAGCATATATATGACCACTCAAATCCAAACATGATTCAACATGGGTAACTTGATTATGTACCATCAAATTATTTCAATTCCTGGTGATTAGTTAAATGGCTTACAAAATCATTAAATATACAAACCAAAAATATGAACTGGCAATCAGGCTAAAATATATCTTCCCAATGGGTACTGAGAAATATATTTTTCATCCTGACCAAAGGTCTGAATTGCCTTTCTAATGCCTTGCAGGGTTCAGCCAAACTGGGATGGGGAATCATTCCAAAGGCAAGGTGGGCGAACACCAAGAAGGCATCCCTACTAGGTCTCACTGGGAGACATTATTGTTATTGTTGTTCACCATCCAAAATGTGAAATATTTTAAAGTGTCTGAATACATGAATATTGTTTATTGGACAGAGATTACAGTCCTTCCATACAGAATTTCTATTTTATAATTATGCTTGTACTTGTTTACATTTATTTCATTCTTTTCTTTAGGCATTAAATAATTCTTCCTCCTCTTTTCAGTTTTTAATCATCCTGTTTAGTGTAATAATCTATATGGCTGGGTTCTAGAGAATTATTGAATTATTCACTCTGGTGAATTATTCCAGCAGGTGGAGGTTGTTCTTCCACCCTTTAAAACATGGGTATCAAACTTGTGGCGTCACGTTGCTGTCACGTTTCGTGATTTTTTTCCCCTTCACAGAGCTGGGTTGGGCATGGCCTGTGTGTGACACATCCAGACCATAGGCCACCAATTTGACACCCCTGCTTTAAAGTGATTGTTTTGCCCCACCTCAAGAAGCCATTGTTGCCAACCTTGACAGTTTTCATACAGTATCCATTTCCCTTTTTAAAGAAGGCTGTTGAGAAGTTGATCGGCAGCTTCAGAGGATCTTGGATAAAGTGGGTATTTGAACCCTTCAGTTGTGTTTCAGGCCTGGATATGAGGCTGAAACAAAATTCTGAATTTAGATGACCTCCAGTGGGAGTGGGATATACATCCATCCTTGATCTACTTGACCTCTCAAGGACCTTCAATACCATTAACTGTAGTCTTTCTGGGCCGGCTGCAGGGATTGGGAATGGATATTGTGCTGGTTTTCTTCCTTTCTCCACAGGCAGTTTTAGCTGGTGTTGATTGGAAGAGGTCCTCTACCTTGTGCAGACTTCAAAGCTTTCTCTACTCCTATTTAATGTCTACATGAAACTGTTGGGTGAGATTATCCACTGCTAGGAGGAAGAGTATCATCAGTACACTGATTATACCCAGAAATACAATTCTGTTCTTGGCAAATTAAATGATTGAACAGCAGACTTTAACCCTTGCAAGAATGAGTGGCTTCAGGTTTGGAGGCTTTCAGGATCTGAGAACTTACCATCTTTGGTGCTGAATGGGGAGGCACTGCCCCAGACAGAGCCTATGCTCAAACTGGGTTTCTAAACTTATTGAGCAGGTAGCAGTTGTCGTTAGGAGGGCCTTTGCACAACTGGATTATGTGCTATTTGCATCTTTTCCTGGATTTCATGAGGCTCTGCTGTCAGTTAGCCATACCCTGGATTACTATAATGCACTCTACAAGGGGCTGCCCTTAATGAGCACCCAGAAAGTGCAAAATACAATGGTTCAAGCAATCATTGATGTTCCTTGATTAGCCATAATCAGCATGTTGAACCATTGCTCCACAAGCTGCAACGGTTAACAATTTGCTTTTGGCTTCAATTCAAGGTGATGCTAATGAAGTAAAGCCCTAGATGGCAAGGGGTAGTTGTTGGAGGAATCACCTCTCCTAGGTTGCATCTATCTGTCCCATCAGTCTGTCAGGAAGGGAGTGTTATAGCTCCTATTTGCCAAGAAGTTACATCAGACAAAAACCAGGAAACAATCCTTTTCTGCCATAAGAGCCCATCCTTGGAACATTATCTTCTCACCCCAAGATTTGACTCGCCCGAACCTTATTAACTCTAGAAAGCCCTGAAGCTCTGCTGCCATGTTGGAGCATGTCCTGTGACAGCCTGCAACCTATGCAATGATTATGTTGTCCATAAGATGAATGCCATTCTCCTGCAGATTTTTTAATGGTTTTTATTTTTAATAGTATTTTAATAAATTGTTTTACTATTTGTATTTGTTCTCTGAATTTTAGCTGTTGTGAGAGCCGCCTGGTCGCATATGCAAGATGTATAAATTGAACAAATAAGTATAAATGAGTGGACCAAAATAAATTAGTCCATTTCCTTCAGTTCAAGTTGAATTCCACTAACTTCAATTAACTAAGATCACACACTGAAGCAAACTATGACTTGTTGTGACTATGAATTACTTAAGCCATAATTATTAAGTTTACATATTCCCATTAAATATTAATAGACCTGTGTAAACCTAGCCAGAACACAAGTATCTGAAGAATTTTATAAAATTCTTTGTAGAGGTAAAACAAAATCTTTTTTCCAGCCTCTGGTCCTTGTTAGACAAAACTTAAAAAGGACATTAAACTTTCAAGAAGTGAGCTGACATCACCACTTAGAGGCTACAATACCTAGCTGAACCTAAAACATGTCACAAAAGTCAAATGTAAGTTGACTTTAAACCTGCTGGGTAAATATAATAAATTTATATATTTAGCAGACAACAGCAATTAAAAATGAACTGTACTCTGACAGCATAATGGAAATTATAAGCATACTCAACTTTTTCACATTCAGTAGAAATATCTATTTTTAAGAACTCTTCCTCAGGTTTATTTTTAAATGCATTCTCAGCTCTTATGCCTATTACATTATCAGAAGCCTTAGTGTAAGCTATAATTTTTAGGGATGGTGAAAATATTGGTGCTATTTATTTTTCTTTTTCCACAGGACTACAAAGGTCAAAAACTAGCAGAGCAGATTTTTCAAGGAATAATTCTTTTCTCTGCTGTAAGTATACTAAAAAGCATAGAATACCACCATTGTAAATTCATCACCTCTTTCCACCTTACCCTCCTGAAAAAGATGTTCATAAGAGGTAAAGCATGAGATTCTTGACAATATTTTATGTGACATATTAGGAAATAAGCAAAATCTCTTCTAATTATTGGAGCACAGGAATCTTCTGGATCCCAGCCCTTTTTCAAAATAGCTGTCATTGCAGTAAGAACATCCTGGAATAAAATCGATACCTTTTTTAGCATTGTGCCCTGAACTATAGACTATTAAGAATTCGATACTTTCTTATGAATACCCAGTAACTTCTTTAGTTGTTGTATATATTTTAAATTGTTAATATTAGGTTCGAGAAATAGACTTGAATATCCTTTGTTATATCTAATTTTTATCTTATAGGTGGTTGGCTTTATTTATGGATATATTACTGAACAGTTTGGCTGGACAGTTTACATAGTAATGGCTGGATTTGCTGTATCATGCCTGGTAAGAATATAATTTTATAGCAAATATACACAGTATATTAAAAATATCAAGTCCTGCAATGACTGTAGTGAACTGTACTTGTAATGCTAGCACACGCCCTAAATGATTAAGATAATTATTTTTTCTTTGGTCAATAAATTATCAACATTGTATTATATGTTATTCTGTTGTCTTGATATTCCAGCTTTTTGTTGTTTTTGCAATTGGCTTTTATCCTGATCTTCATTTGAAGCAACTACATAGTATTATGGAAATACTGCTCACCAGATTAGTTTCCTTTGCTCCTAATCTTAGTTGTTCTAACCAAAAATTAAGCATTTAATAGGAGTCTTAAGTTGTCCTAATTTTTTGTATTACAGCTCACACTGCCTCCATGGCCCATTTACCGTCGCAATCCTCTGAAATGGCTCCCTGTTCAGGAATCTGCAACAGATGATAAAAAACCTGCAGACAGAAAAGTAAAGAGGCATCCTAAAAATTGAAAAACTACATCTTCTGTATGATTTTCTGTCATTAAATTTGCTTTAAAATTGATTTCTCTTCTTTTACTTGGTTTGGTGTTTCTGCACACAGTCAGAGAATAAATTCTTTCGTTGTATTTAACTCCATCCATCTAGGGTATGGTACACTTGGTGATTTATTAAGCCATTTAAATATTGGAATAGCTGCATTTAATAGTGGAATTGCTTAGCTCACTATAGTTTAGCTCAGCAATCATTTTCTAGTATATCCTAAGAGGATTAAGTAAGCCATGGAAATAATTATATTGCTGCTTCTGCAGTGGTTAAAAGTCTACTACCACTAATCATAGAAATCACTTAGAAATCATCTTAACTGCAGTCAACAATAAAATAGGCCAATCTCTTTAAACCAGTCTGTTAGACATTATTGCAAAATCATATTATGACTAATTCTGAATCTGCGCTTAAGTAATATTTTAAATATGTATGTATTCAATGCATTTTCAAAGTAGTCGTGTGAATTCCAGCAAAAGTGAAAATCTTCTGACATTTTAATGATTAATACTTCTTATAGGATGAGATTTTAATGGATTATAGTTCACTTTAACAGATGCAATATAGATTATCCAGAGTTCCAGATTGTAGACTCATGAACACACATAGTAATTATCAATTGTGATCATTTAAGAATAAATGTACACAAATCACAATGCCAGAAATCATAGTATCTAAAAGCTTACAGTAGCAACTATGTTAACCTCTCTAAACATTTAACTGACCTTATTTACAGTGATCTTCCCTGAGTGAATGAACTTCAATAAGAAATTCCAGCATGAAAATTTAAATTAAATTTTATATAGCAATCCCATTTTATCACCTAAGAATTGGACCAAGATTATAGGGTCATATGTGGATTATCATACCAGAATGATTGTTTTGAATGACATTTTGATGCTATAACCATTTTGCTTTTATATCATATGTATGACTTGTATTTAATTTCCTTCTGACAGGACTCTTCTGCGTTCTCTAACCTCTATCATTCATGCATACTTTTCCTGCATCCATAATCTGCATTCTGTGATAAATGTTGGTATTCTGTGAATTGGCAAAGCATTTGTTGCTTTTAAATTTTATTACTGCATGTCCTAAAATAGCAATAACATTTAGACTTGTATACTACTTCACAGTGCTTTATAGCCCTCTCTAAGCAGTTTACAGAGTCAGATACTGGTCCCAACAATCTGGGTCCTAAATATGAAGAACAATGATAATAACTCCTTGTTTTCCAGGTTTTGTATAAAAGTTTATTAATAGAGGAGCTGAGTTTGTATAACAACTACTGTATATTTTGGGGGCATGACATCTCCTTCTACTTTGAAAAATGTCTGATCTGGCAGTGTATTTCCATTGGCAGAATGAGCAATGGTAGAATTTTCACCTTCCTAGAAATCTGCTCTATATCATTAAATTTTCTGTAATATTTGGGAGCAACATTGGCATCTATGCTCCTTTTCATGAACATGATTATTCTGAGAAATTCTACTCAGTTCTGTTCAGTAGATGCTGACTAATGGAATTAATTCCTGGATCCAATCCATTCAAAGCACTTTGGAGTGAGCGGGGAGGCAAGGAAGGAATTTGATACTGCAATAGCCTCCTAGCAGTTCTCCCCTTTTCTACTCGTTTGTTGACGGGTTCCTTGTCTTCTTGGAGCCCTGCATTAGCTGTAATTAAGGCCAGGTGTTATATGAAATATTTTTAGCCCTTTGGGCAGTATAGTGTTTCTGCTTTCTACTATTTTCACTGTTACATGTACTGATTCAGATTCCTTGGTTATTCCCTCTACACTCAAGACATAGTCCCACGTAACCTTAAAACTGTTCCCATTTGGTGAAACAATGCTTCCACTTGTGGCTTTTGAACTGGCCTCAGTGATCATTTATTTTACATATTATTTAATTTTACTTGATTTAATCCATTATATATTTGTTAATGGGTTTTAGAGGGTGTGGTGTCCCATAAGAGTTAGAGTTGCCTAGGATTGACTAGGTTTGAATTTCTTGACTGTATAATCAAATTCTAGAGATATTCTATTATTTTTGCTTGATGCTGAGCTTTCCAGTGCAATATAAATAAATTTTATAAGTCAGAGAGCTTTTGCCATTTGGTCTCATAAAACTAAAAATCAAGCAAGACAAAATTTAGTAGAAGAAATTTCTAATATTCATCACTTCAAAGTCTTTTGTAATAAATATTTACTTGATTCCTGTGAAGCTTAATATCTCAATTGATTTAATTAAACACATCCCATCACAACCCAAAGTTTATTAAAATAGTAAGCATTGTGTTTCAAGCAAACAAGGGTGTCAAACTCATGGTCCGCAGGTCAGATGCGTCACGTACTGGCCCCACCCCACCCAGTTTAGCGATGGGGGAAAATCCTGATATGTCACTTGACGCCGTCGTGATGCTGCGAGTTTGACACCCCTGCTCTAGACGCTCAATTTATGTTGTTTTCCCATCCTCTTTTTCAAAAATAATGAGAATGATTTCTCATATAAAATATGTATTTGTTAGAAGGGTAAAATTTGTAAAAAGCCCTATAGGATTTTTTTACTTTTTTTAAAAAAATAGTCATACTAATTATGTATCCAATATTATATGTGAATATTGGACAAATAGATTAGTACACCATTGTTTTAAAAATACTGGTTCTCAGATATGTTGATAAAGATATAAACATATATATTCCAACTGAAGAGAATATATGCAGTTCATGGTTGAATAATGGTGTCCTTGAAACTTGTTTGAAGAAAACAAGAAGACCTCAATACATCTCCAACAACCAATACCCAGACAAGCAGTGATTAACACCAGACAAACAAGCAGAAAACAATATCCTAATGAAGGAATTAACAATGAGTGTTACCCACCAACACTGGCAAGACCAAGCTACTGTGTATAAACAGAGCATACCACATGCCCAACAGCATTGATGATGTTACCTAATTGGATAATGAAGCACCTGCAAGCAAACAATTAAGCTAAGAAAGCATTAAGGACTTCACATAGTCTTACTCTTTTCCTGTCTCTAATTGGTGCATCACATCTATGTTCTTTTCCTGAATAGAATTTGTTAGGTTTTTTTTTTTTCATTATACCATAACATTAATTGAAAATTATTCTACTTTACTGAAAATTTATTCTTGGGCTGAAATCAGAGATTGTCTAAAATACCAAATTCTAACAACGTACATATTTGACTACCAGTATATACAGGTTTACCAATTTTAAATGATGATTGACATTGAAACAAAAATAATTTAATATTTTAAAAAGACAGAATCATTAGAAAGTGCTGCTTGTTGCTAGTATTTAAAAAAATTCACACTTATCCAAACTTACCTTTAAGCATGTATTGCTCCTTCTAAACTAAATACACAATCTACAATAGATAACAAGAAACAGTATGGGAAAAGGTTTATCTTCTAAATGAATGAATCTTAAGAAAATTTTAAAAATCAATCCAGTTACAAACTGAGTGTCTTTCTTTCAGGAAGAAACAGTTCAACTGAGGTATTTGTCAAAGTTTCACATTGTCTTCTAAGAACTTTAAATGACGAGCCTTCATACTATAAGACGTGTACTTTTCTCCCATGAGCTTCCGCAAACATAGCTAAAGGAGGGAAAAAACATTGTAATTCAAACATGAATAGTACATTTAAGCAGAGATTATATGCAAAACTGATCACTATTAAATCCACAGATAACTAGTGCACATATTTGGGAAATTGCACAATTAAGAATTCATAAAACACTGAATTTGGTGGCAAAGATTACCACAAAGATGGTAATAGAAAATATTAAGACATGTTAATGGAGAATATGTGCAGCTAGAGCTGAAATGTTGGTATCTTGGTATTCAATAAGCTTACAAACATTTTGCTGCCAAATTAAATAATATCAGTGCTTTGGCACAAGGGAATTGGATTTGTGGAGTTTGTACCCAGCCCTACCTACCTTGATCCAGGGGTGGGATTCAATCGGCATTATTACTGGTTCGGTATTTGTGTTTTGCGCGCGTGTATACTACACGCTGCGCGCGCATGTACTACACCATTAGCTGAGCCACCAGGACAGCTAATAAGCACTGCATGCAGGTGCTCAGCGTTTCAAAAAGCACCTTTTAACTGCTTTTTCAAGCTCAGCTGTGCCGCGCAAAGCAGCTGAGGTTGAAAAAGCAGGAAATAAAGGTCAGGTAAGAACCCAGGCGGGCAGGTGGACCAAACAGCAGCAGACACAGAAACGGTTCTGTGTCTTCTGCTCTTCAGAGTTACCGGTTCTATAGAGCCAGCCAGAACCGGTAGCATCCCACCCCTGCCTTGATCTATCTAATTTGGTTGGCTGTGTTGTTTCATCTTAGATTGTTCCTGCCTATCTTGCTGGAATAGTTTGTGGATTGGGTTTATTTCTGGGCATCTGTTATTTCTGATCTATCAGAATTCTAGAATTCTTTTACATTCTTGGCTTTTGTATTAAATGATTAGTTTTATATTTGTTCTGTCAAAAAAACATACCTCTTTTTTCTGTTCATCCTCTTCCTCCATTGCATCATAAACTTTTTCTAGCAGCTTTACTCCAATTCCTTGAACTACATCTGCTCTTAAAATCTCAACCAATCTTCTAATATTCTGAGGACCAGACTTGACATCTAATAAAATAATAAAATACATTGTTTTTTTAATTTTATTTCTGGCATCTATAATTGCAGAGATCAAGTGTAACATTTTAATTTTAATTCAGATCAATATTCTGGAGATTCTCTGATTTTATTCAGCATTCTATTCCAAATAATCAGAATTGGTACTTATACCATTTCTGTAGATAGAATAGGTTAAATGGAACCTTTAAAAGGGGAGTTGCTTTTCTTCTTAATAAATTTTTTTGTTGGTAATGCTAGAGCAGAAAATCTAATTTGAATACCACAAGTTTCAAGCATAACATACAGACCTGAAGGAAGCTCTTGAAACTGAAATTCATCAGGTTCTTCAGCTGCTTTCCCATGTAAGATCAGTGTATCCCTATATTTTCTATTTAGCCTGAACTGTGACTCAGGTGTTGGCATTGCAAATTGTGAATAATTTTCAATATTATCCATTTTTAGTGTTTGCGTCATCAACTGTAGCAAGTCATTCATTTCATTACTTTTTCTGCAAAACAAGAAAATATTTCAGCATACTCCAAGTCATACAAAATTTGAGAATTTTAATGGTGAACTATCTAAACTTAGTATAGTACACAGAATTGTGTAAGGTATGGTTTAGGCCTTATTTTCCAAAAGGTTTTTATCATGTTTCTCTTCCTGGTTCAGAACGAGGAATGGGTTGGAGATAAACCAAGACCGAGCAAGACAAAAATAAAAGATTTCACAAAACCATACTAGTAGTCCTCAACTTACAACTTACAACTGGGCCTGTAATTTCAGCCATACAACATTGTGGCCATAGGTTGAAGCTCCATGTGACAGGACTCAATTTTACAATGTTTTTATGACAGTCATAAAACGAATTACATAGCCATTAAGTAAACCCTGCTAGAATCCAGCAAAAATGTTACAAATCATGGTTATGTGGCTGAAAGATGCCACAACCTATTGTAAATGAGAGCCTATTGCCAAGCACTTGAACTGCAATCACATGATCAACAGGACACGGCAGTCATAACTTCAAGGATGGATCATAAGGAGCATTTTTTAAAGACTATCATAACAGAACGGTTATTAAACAACCAATGATAAGCTGAGGATTACCTCTAGTTTTGTGACTATTACTGTGAAATAGAGAGGGAGAATACACTCCCATACATGCAGATGGCACATGAACTATACAGGTTACAGGTGACAATCAACTTACAACAGTTCATTTAGTGACTGGAGTTAAAACATCAGTGAAAAATGTGACTTTTTTCACATGACCGATATAGCATTCTCATGGTCACGTGATTTATATTCGGATGTTTGACAAATGACTCGTATTTATGACAGTTGTAGTGTCTTGGAGTCATGTGATCACCTTTTGTGACCTTCTGTCAAGCAAAGTCAATGGGGAAACTAACAACTGCAGCGATTCACTTAACCACTGTGGCAAGAAAAGTCGTAAAATGGAGCAAAATTCACCAAATTTCTCACTTAACAACATAAATTTTGGGCTCAATTGTGGTTGTAAATTGAGGACTACCGGTACCTGTACTGCACTGGGTTTAGGAATATTTGTCTGTTGGCTGGATCAAAGAGACTGTTAATGCAGAAAACTACAAATTTCCAAACTCTTTTCATAAAACTTTACAAATAGAAGAGGGGATGCTTCCAGGGGTGGGCTACTGGGGGTTTGCAGGGGTTCGGGAGAGCCCCTAGCTAAGATTCTGTGCAGTTTGGAGAACCCCCAAATCCCACTCATGGCTGGCCCCCACTCACCCCCTCCCAGGAGTCCCCATACAGCCCATTTTGGATGCAGGTAAGTACAGAGTGCACGCCAGAGGTGGTATTCAGCAGGTTCTGACCAGTTCTGGAGAATCGGTAGCGGAAATTTTGAGTAGTTCAGAGAACTGGCAAATACCACCTCTGACTGGCTCTGCCCCCATCTATTCTCTGCCTCCTGAGCTGGGTCTTTTGTTGCCCTGCACAGGAGAACGGAGCTGGAAAGCAGGTTAGTGGAGTGGGGAGGGAATGGGGATTTTACAGTATCCTTCCCGTGTCACGCCCACCAAGCCACGCCCACCAAGCCACACCTACAGAACCGGTAGTAAAAAAATGTTGAATGCCACCACTGGTGCACACAGAGGCTCAGGGAGGGCAAAACTTCCCAGAGGTTTCGGGAAGTCTGGAAATGGACCAGTTTCTGGCTTCCAGAAAGCCTCTGGAGCCCGGGGAGGCCGTTTTCACCCTCCCGGAGGCTCGAAGAAAGCCCCCGGAGCACAGGGAGGGCAAAAACACCCCGGGTTCAGGAGGCCAACTAGGCTATGCCCACCCAGCAACCGGGCAGAGAACCCTTTGCTAAAATTTTTGAAGCTTCTGGAAGCTTCAAGTTTTAATTAAGATAATATGGAAAAGATGTAGAAGATTCTGATTCTTAACAAAACTATCTATAAAAATACTATGAATTTTTAGTGTGAATTTTCACAGTAATTTTAAAGAAAGCTACACAGAAAACTCCTTGACACAGTTCTTCTAGCATTTTTATAAGTGGGAATAGTGAATTATCATTTCCCAGTTTTACTTTTTTCTGTGCTGCTTTCAACCCAGTTATTTTTAGGTTGAACTTTCCTTTTAAAAGGAGATCTTATAATAGTTAAAACTGAGGAGGTCTTTATAACATAGTACAGTACTTCCTAAACTTGGCTATTGATGATTTTTTTATTGGGCCTTTGACTAGGAACATAACTATATCACATGTGTATACAGATACACAAATGCACTCAGTGACTGGCTATGGCTTAATATCCAACAAGGGACTTATCATACAATACACTAATGGTTTACAAACAGCAATAGTTTTATTTATATAATAAACAAACTATATATGTGATTAACATGTGTAAACCACACATAACTATAGACAGAAAACACCTACTTTTCTTTATAATCTCCATCTGATTTTTCTGTAGAGCTTGTAGAAGAGCTCAGTTCATCCTCAGTGCAACAACCAGTTAAGCTTTTCTTCTGCTGAGGACAATTTTTCAAGTACAAGAAAACAGAGAGAACCATTATAGGAATAATTCAATAGAAAATTCTTTCTTACTTCTCAGTGAAAGAGCAATGCGAATTTAGCTCCATTTACGTTTCTAATGAAATACTTTTGTAGAGGATAGTACTTGAAAGCATAGCAGATTACAAGCTACTTTCAATGATGATAACTTTTTAATAGGCATCCTACAGGACATATCAGAATCGCCCTGGGAGGAATTCCTATATGATGAAGTCTCCAAAGTCTGTGCTGTGAGCTACTTCTGCAATATTCTTCTGCAAAAGGATGCTTTGACCAATGCAGAAGAATTAAGTTACTTATATATACAAAGGAGGACAAGGATTGCAAGGCAGCCCTTAGAATAATAGCATCCCTGTGAGATGTGTTGGGCTGAGAGAATCACCTAACTGGTTTTCATGCTTACTGAAGGCCTAGTACAATAAGTCAGAGTTTCCTATGAAGGAGACATATTTTGTATTTTTGCAAGCTACTTTGATCCACCAGAAAACTATGATCAGTGAGGATTTGTGATCCAGATTGGGCTATTGGAAATAGATTGTATGAGGCTCTGAAATCTGTTCTACGCATGCCTTTGATGACTTGTCTAATATTTCTTTTATGACTTGTTTAGTATCTCTGGTATGCCATTCCTCTTCTCTTTGGATAAAAGGTAGGAGATAGCTCTTTCTGGCCCTGTGGAAAACCAAATTTATTTGAATATATTAGTGATGATCTGAGGTGGAACAGAGGCGGTGATGCTAGCGCAGGGGACCGGCTGCAAATATAGATGAAGCTTCGCTTACTTGCTTACAATTCTAAGCTCTGTCTCCAAACTTAGTGGGAGGGAAATCTGCCTGGCCTCTGCTGTAAAAATGGCAGATTCCCCAAAATAATTGTTTCTCTTTAGAAGTATAATAATCTAAAGCAGTAGAAATCTTAAAGGTAATAATTTAAGTAGTAGAATTTCCATGTATTGATGGCAGACACATCTCTTTTTTAATATTCTACAATGTTGTAAATTGTTACTATACTTAACATATGACAACTACTTACCTTATCAGTGCTGGATTCTGAAGTAAACTGAGCAATCTGAATAAAACTATCTTCCTTTGGAAGTTTTGTTTCTGTTGATGCATCATAAGACATTTGTCTTATAGAAGGCCCTGAAAAGGACCAAGGAATAATTTTTACTTCATATATGCACTATCATGACAACAGGATTAAATGCCTGATAAACCAAAATAGACCTTTCTTCTTTCATTTTAACATTCAGTCATGTACGAGATTTTTGTCCTGTCTTTCCCCTAGGAATTCAACGCTGTATACAATCCTTTTTTTCCCCTCCTACAGCAACTCTGAGGTAGGTTGGACTGAAAAAATTGACTATCTCAGTGTCACTTATTGAGTTTCCGTGGCTGGAAGAGGATTTGAATTTGGGTTCCCTCCATGATATTTTAATCATTACATCTTAATCCCTCAATCCCTTCTACCCTATTGTTGATACTTTTCCAAGTATAATGAAGGGGAAGTTTAGTTTCTAATTCCTGTAGTAGTTGATGTGATCTAGTAGTTGATGTGATCTTTGTGGCTAGTCACAAAGTATGCATTTCCCAGAAAGCAAACTGATAAAAGTGAAAAGGAGGGGAATTTGTCAAAAACCTCAGTACCAAAAACAACAGATCCAACACACCAACTCATTGTTCAAAGACATGCCTATTTCCAGTCAGCAGATTATGAAGGCTAGTACAGTAAGTTAAGTAGCCTGGAAACTAAAAATAGAGTTGAGGCCTTATGTCCCTCTCACTGTTATAATACAACTTTACAGAGGGCAAATTGATGAAGCCCACAAAGAGGGAAAATACTGCACAAACATGAAACTAATGAATTTACACAAAAACATCCACATTCAAGAAAAACAGCAGAAATAAGAGATTGTCCCATCATTTCCCATATTCTCCATACGATAAGGTATTCCCTGACACATTTTTAGACTCAATGATGCTCCTTCCTCCTTCTCCTGGTACCTTTTTTCTCTGAGCAGCTGTGAATCTTTTTAAAACATTGGTTGTAACTATCCAATGTTTTTATTTTCCAAGACTTCAGCATGCCAGATCCCCATTTAAGTTTTCAGTTAAATTAAGCCATCTTAAGAATGACTTCAGGACACAGAAAGAGACCAAGAGGTGCCAAGAAATGTATTTGTGGGAATAATTTTTGCTGTTACAGTAAGGCCCCTTTGAAAGAATTTTTTTACTGAAGATTTGTCATAGATAAGGTGTGTGTATCTATGTGAAAATAAGGAAGTAAAATGTAAAAGAGAAGGAGGCAAAGAAAACTTAACACCAGATAAACAATCAAGCAATAAACAAAAGCCTAATCAAGGAACTGCCAAGGAAAAAACAAAAACCTAACCAATCCTGACAAGTTATTATATAAAAACAGAGAGCAAACCCCATTCTCTTCTAGCACTGAAAATATTATCAAGCCAACAACCAAGCTCAAAAAGCTCCAAGGACTTCACAGCAAAGAAAACTATTACCAGAAGAAAGCATGTCCTCTTGGGATTGCTTTAATCTTCTCCTTTCTCGGGCTGATAATGGCCGATCCTTTGAAAGGAGAAAAGTAAAAAAAAAAAAAAAAGTAAACTCGTATCTTTTTATTGATGTATATGGCACTGATACATCCTTAATAAAAGAAATTCAAGTTTTACAACTAAATGATAGGTCATTAGACATTTCTTTGTATTTATTCTATAAAACATTATGGGAAAGAACTACACCGCTCTATTACTTTATAATCCCATTTTAAATAGTTCTACACAGTTCTGGCAATATTATATCAGATTGGCATATAAAATTAGAATATTCAAATTGAGTAATTTCTTTTAAAAAGGACATGTTGTACATAAAGATATATGGCACAAACCTTGGAATGTTCTACTTCAAAGCTTTTTGACTTTTTCAGAACATTTGCAGCACGCTGATGGTCTATGTTACCTCCTTTCATCTTTACATCAGGAAAAGCGGGCAGTTGTCGAGGGCCAAGTGCTGCAATCTTAACAGAAGAAATAGCACCTTTATAAAAGGTTTCTTCCCAAAAAACAGGTACAGTATTCACTCAAGAATGCATGAAAGAACTCCACAGGGGCAGGTCCAGCGATTGTGCTGGTACCCATTCAACATGACCAATACAGAATGTTTCCAGTAATATTTCAGTAACATCTTGGAGCACCACAGATTATCCAGCCATGGATGAAGTTAATTCCCAACTTATTAATATTCAAATAGCACTTCCATTTCATTTTTCACACAGATAAAATAGAGTATCATACATCCCAGGTAACACATTATATCTTTATCATTCCAGTAAAGGCAGATGTTCTGCCACTTAGTTTTTTACAACATATGCTACAAACTAACACCAGTTTTTATACTGAAATGTGCTAACCTATAAAATAAAGTTTTTTTAACTGAACTTTAAATTGAATATACCTGGTTAACATAAACATCTATAGAAACTAATGGCAGGGGGTGGTGTGTTTTTTTTAGTTTTAAAAGATTTAAACAATTGTTCTAGTATCTCGGATGCCTCAGAAGCTAAAAATGCTGCTGGTCAAAACTATGTTGTTGTAACTATAAATATTGCCACTGAGTTGCCAACTGGTCCAAAGTCAATATCCCTGCTTTCACCCAATTTTTTAAAAAATCACTATCTTTTTTCCAATTTTTAATGTTTAGCATGGGAAAAAGTATCGAATCTGTTTTTATTGAACATTCCTTTCCACAGCTTTCTAACCAATATAATTGTTTCCAGAGATATTAGTGTTCTACTGAATTTAGTTCCTAATACTGTCCTAATCTTTACCTTGTCTAAGCAGATCTCAGACTGCTCCTGCTTCTTATGGCGTCGCTGTCGTGACAAGGAAGGCTCTTGAACCGAACCGTGAGGTCGAAAACAAGGAGTGCTTATAGGCAGAATGGGATCTTTAGCTTCTCCTGAGTTTTCACAGGAGGCTTCATTCTATGAATATATATGTACACACACTTTACAATGCTTCAATTTATGCTGTCCAGAATCAAGCATGTACACTTAGTTCAAAAGTGTTATTAGAAAGCCAAAATTATTTTTATTTTAATCAAAATTAAATTCACTTAAGTATTTGAAGAAAATCCTGTCATCGTACTTTAAAATAAATAATTGGCATAATAATATTTGTGTTGCAGACCACAAAATTCAAATACTTACCAAAATTTCTCTAGGATCAATCGGTACTAGCAGTTTCTCAGTACAGTCCAGACTCTGGAAAGAGAGTTTGCTGTATTTTCATGAATAGCCACTATTATAACATTAAATAGAATGTGATATAAGCATTAGGAAACTGAAAGAGCAACATCTCCATTATTGAAGGGAGTAAAAGAACTATTAGCTGGGCACTAAACACAATAGCTGGATGCTGAAACTAATACTGTATCATTTACCTAAGGCTAAACTAGTAAGTAGAAAAATGACAAACTACCCTAGAAGATGACAATGATAAAACTTTTTTGAAATATTGCAAGGAAAACTACTGTATGTAGATATTCTATATGGTATGTTCTAATTTAACTTACTTCTGATTAATTCCAGCAAATCTTCCAAGATCTGGAAGGGTGGTTTTAGGAAAAATAGGAGAGGAAAGAGTATTATGTACTGTATATTTGTTGCCTTTCATTATTTATAAAAATTATCAAGGTGGGACAAACATCTAGGTTTATTTGTTTAAGTTCAGTTTGCCTATTTTAGGAAAATTGTGCAAAGGTCCTTATCAACCTCAATAGTTCTAAGCCCCAAAATCTGATCACAAAAGGTTCAGAGATATATAGATCTGAATTGCACTGAAATAAGTGCATATGTATTCATTTAATGGCCCTCTAAATGTAAATAAATAGTGAGGCACAATTGTTCTACCTAGAAAAACAGCTATCACTTTCTCAAAAAATGATATCTGATAGAAATTAAAATGAAATTAAATGCTGAAGTTGCTCCGTCTGCTAGGGAAAATACACCCGGTATTCCATAGTAGCCTCTTAAAACCCGTAGTGGGATCGACCCTGAGGCCACCACCTCGTGAACCCCCAGACCCCGTGGTCATAGGGGGCCAAACCCATTATGAGGTGCAGCAAATCCTCGATTCGAGGTGGCACTGAAGACAACTCCAATATTTAATCAAGAGGAAGGGCTACCCCTTATCAGAGGCATCTTGGGTAAAGAGTAGGAATGTCCAAGTCAATTGCCTGATGACGAGCTTCCATGCAGAAAACCCAACCTAAACTTGGTAACCCTAAGTTCTATACCTGCAATAAATTTGTTTTTTTTTTGTGTTGTACAGGTCACCTTCAAGAAGTGAGGTGAGCTGAATGCCAACTAAATAATAATAATACTCCTCCTTTGGTCTTTTAGTTGCCAGCAAAAAGGGAGTGGGGGGAAGCAGTGCATTCTTCATATGCTTCAGATAATCGCCTTGGCAGCCCAAAGTTGTCAGCATGCAAAAATATTACTGGAGAGCATGATTGATGACTCTTGGCTATTGATGTGTCCCACTGGAGAATATACATCCAGGGGGTGGGGGGGAAGACCAGGGTCAAGGGGGAAATTATGTATTTTAGTGTCGGCTAACGCCAACATGGCCATTTCTAATAAAACATATTTTTTTTAACTCTGAGAGATGCGGCTAGAGATATGATTTGAATGGGGGTAGATTTGTTGGAGCTCTGACAGACAGTATATTTTAGAAGAGAATTCAAGACAAAATACCTGGCTTTTCAGCAAAGTCTGAGATTAAGTAGGAAAAGAATCTAATTGGAAGAGATGCTAAGGAAGAGGTGAATGCACAATTTGTAAGTTAATAATAATTAGCTACCTTAATAATTCTCAAGTCCTTAGTTCAATTATTAAGTTTCTATTACTCTTAGACTGGGAATCTAACTGTAAGTTACCCATACACAAACCATAACAATAAAGCAACATTTGCCTATCCCAGGTCTTTAGAAAGGACTTGATTGGTGGATAAAAATGCCAAATCCAGTGTAAACATCTGGCTGACTGAATAATAAAACATAGCATATTTATGCTGCCCACATAGTTATATAACAATAAATTTCTAAAAAATATAAATCCCAATCAATGGACACAATGAATAAGCATTAAGCAATATTACTACATTAACAATGAATCATAAAAAATCCAAGACTAGCAAAGCACCAATATGTCTGATGCTCTATCTCCCTCAAACACAGGATAAACTTATGTCCAGAATCAGGTCATGACACAAACTTAGGACTAGGAGTTACTGAAACAGCAGAAACCAGCATTTCAGAGTTCAATCACATTTTCAACAGATTTGCAGGTAGTCCTTGACTTACGACCACAATTGAGCCCAAAATTTCTGTTGCTAAGCAAGACAGTTAAGTGAGTTTTACCCTACTTTGTTTCTTGCCACAGTTAAGTGAATCACTGCAGTTGTTAAGTTAGTAACATGGTTGTTAAGTGAATCTGGCTTCCCCATTGACTTTGCTTGCCAGAAGGTCGCAAAAGATGATCATATGACCCCAGGACACTGCAATATATGCTAGTTACCAAGCATCCAAATTCTGATCACATGAGCATGGAATGCTGCAACATTCATAAGTGTGAAAAACAGTCATAAGTCACTTTTTCCAGGGCCATTGTAACTTTGAATATAAAGAAATGATTGTAAGTCAAGGACTGCCTGTACATCTTCTAGTATCATATTCACATACACACATATATATGTGAAACAGTAAATAATTACTTTATTGCTTACACATGGAATCTTTGAAGTGGGTTGCAGAAGGTTTGTAGTGTCATCACCATTATCTGTCTCCTTAGCATCTACATCTCCAGTTTTTGGGCAAGTCTTTGTCACTTTCAGTAAACTTTCTTCCTTTAATTCTGGGCTATTTTTTGCTTTTTCAGGCTCTGCTTCATTGGGAATATGTATATTTTCAGATTCTTTATGTTCTGCTAACTGTTTGTTTGCAGAGTTTCTTTTTTCCAGTGGAACAATAAGTATATTAACTTTGCTCATTGTTGTCAAAGAGACATCTAAGCTATTCAAACCATTTTTGCTGTTTTTTTCAGGTTCAGATGCTAGTTTCTTTGAAGAAGAAACATCAAATGTTTTATTATTGATTAAACATTTATCTTCATTCTGTAATATTAAGAAGTACAATTAAGTCACCAATTCTATTAAGCTAGGTTATTTTAAACATAAGCATAACATTACAGTAATCTGTTTTGATCTGACTTGATCCAGTTGTGAAATTTTACATGGGATGGACGGAGGACTGGGGAAAAGATATGGCATGTTTTACTAGAATGGTATAATGCAGGAGAGGCTTAGCCAACAACAACAAAAGACCTCTTAGTCATATGGGAGGTGCACAAATGACGGAAAAGGTCAGTCATATAGAAGCCAGGCTGTTGGTCTATTAGTCTGCTTGATATTTTTTGCAATGACCTTAGTTGGTCCGGAAGTTGGTTTCCTGTCCTTGTTTACAGGATATTTTGAAGGCTATGTTAAGTCCAAGACATATGAAGGTCCAGTATCTTCAACCTATGTTGGTTCAAGTCCTTCAATCAAGTAACTGACCAAACATGCAAAAGCTGGGAGATGGTATTCCAACTTACTAAACTTATAAGATTATGTTATTAATAATAAATATTAATTAGTATTAATACTGTATTAATAATATGAATACTTAATACGGTAAGTATTATTAATATATAATAATATAATTAATAAATAATAATAATCAAGAGCCTCGGTGGCAAAGTGGTTAGAGTGCAGTACTACAAGCTACTTCTGCTGCAGCCAGAAGTAGCTGGCAGAACGAATCTCACCAGGCTCAAGACTGACTCAGCCTTCCATCCTTCCGAGCTGGATAAAATGAGGACCCAGATTGTTGGAGGCAATATGTGATTCTGTAAACCGCTTAGAGAGGGCTGTAAAGCACTATAAAGCAGTATATAAGTCTAAGTGCTATTGCTATTACTGTAACAATGTGTTGTGATAGGGCAGGTATGGGAACTTAAGGCAAGAAGGATATATTGGAATCACTTATTTATTCCAACTCTCTCCCTGTGTTACCAAGGGCTCACTAAGAGGTCTGATTGTCATGAAGCTGCACCAGAAGTCCATCTTTTTTGTTCATCTTACTTCCCTATTCCCATCTTCCACAGCATAGCTATAGTTATTATATGACCACTATTGAAAACTATTGCACCACCTGTTATTGTTTAAATTTTTTGAAAATAAATTCTTTATATAACTTAATATTTACATCAAGGAGTTTTCCATAAAGGAAATTATCAGATACCATTCCGGCTGCAAGTAAGATATTGTAACATGCACTGTAAAAAAAAAAAAAGCTGTTCTATCGTCTACTCATGCAGGGTTCTCCACGAGTTAGTTTTACTATTCTAGAGTAGACCTGTGCCTTATAGGGGTAAGCAAGAGATTCACTTCACTTTTGACTGGCATGTCAGGGCCTGAACTTTGAACAGTGAATAGCACAGGAAAAGGAACAAGGTGGGAACGGAGCAAAATTTAAATTTATTTTAAACAGAAGCAGTTAATTCATTAGTCTCCATGGTTTTCAGAATTTTATTCTGTGACATGTAAATTACAACTCAGTGTATTTTCATAGGTTTGGTGATACCTAACATTTTAGGGCAAGGGTGTCAAACTGACGGCCCACAGGACGGATGCGTCACATGCAGGCCACACCCACCCCGACTCCGCAAAGGCAAAAAATGTTGATACATCGCGATATGTCATGTGACACGATCGAGTTTGCCATCCGTGCTTTAGGGCAACTGACTGTGCACCTCCAATTGAACAGAATTTAAATGGGTATCATTATGAGAAAAAAAACAGATGGAAGGATTAAGAATTGATATTCTTTCTCCTTAATTTGAAACAAAATTTGTAGTTCATCAAATTTGACCATGGGCTTTTTTTTCTGCCCCACCCATTCTGGCTACAGAGCTAAAATAATAACTTGCCCCATTGGACTTCTTTGAAAGTTCATTTGGCAGCTTCTGAGATTCTGTACTTTCTTTCTTTAATTCAGTTTTCTCTGAAGATCCCCGAGGTTTGCTTTCAGACACTTTCTTATGATTTTTAGATGTTTTTCTTTAAAGAAAAAGCAAGAAGATATGTTATCAGATTTACAAAATATGGACATTTTTCAATACTTTTTGCCAAAACATAGTTTTCTCATATCTCTATGTATAGGTTTACTTTTTTCTGAAGTACTGCAGGTATAGCAATATGGATATTATTTTAGATACAAAACTGCTTCTCAAGTCATAAACATTTGTAAATATGGTTTAATTATCAACTTTTAAGAATGTGTCCTATGAACGATGTCCAACATACGAGATAAATAAATAGATGAGCCAATAGAGAATAAATGATTGCTAAAAACGTTATGGCCCCAATCACTATCACTGTTCTCATTTTCCCTGTAGCCCTTGGATTTATCTTTTGTACTGCTATAGAGGTTTACCCTATACTGCACCAAACTCGAGGGACAGTCAATGAAGATTAACCTTTCTATTTCCTTTCATAGATAAACCTTCTTACAATATTTAGTTGCTTGAAAACTTTTAATAAAATTCTGAGATATGAAAATATTCTTCAATTTTGAAAATAAGTTTAATGTCAACTCATAAAATATTTCTCTGGTCTTTTTAGTGTTGCCAACAGAAAGGGAGGGGGGAGCAGTGCAGAAGCTTGCAAACCAAAACTGCATTCCATAAATGTTTTCAAAGATTGTAACTAGGTGACTGAAGTTTCTGCCGTGCAAAATTCTAACTGGATTGATGATTCTTGGCTATGAATTGGAGAATATGAATTATAATACACCTAGGGGGTGGGGGAAAACCTGGATAAAGGGTGACAATGAATTATGTGCCTCAGAGTCGGCTACACCCAGGCAGTGCTGGACAGTTTAACTCACAATAAATCCTTAACTTTTGGAAGTTTGGCTCGAGACTCATGATTTAAATGGGGGTTACTGCCAGAATCTTGACAGCTAGCTGACTCTGAGGCATGTAATTCATTGTCACCCTTGACCCTGGTTTTCCCCCATCCTCTGGGTGTATCATAATTCATATTCTCCAATGGAACACATTCATAGCCAAGAGTCATCAATCACGCTCTCTAGTTAGAATTTTGCATGGCAGAAACTTCAGTCACCTAGTTACAATCTTTGAAAACATTTATGGAATGCAGTTTCAGTTTGCAAGCTGCTGCACTGCTCCCCCCTCCCTTTCTGTTGGCAACTCTAAAGACCATAGAAATATTTTATGAATTGACATTTAGTTGCTGTAGATCTTTGCATAACAAACAATTGAGGCACAACACAACATGAAGTAAAAAGCACGGTGTTTGAAATAATTATGAGACGTGTTATAGAATCAGACTGGTACTGAAGATATTACAGAGCCCCTGAAATAAATCCAATTTTCTTAGACCTTACACTATCACTCACTGCAACACTGCCTTTTGTTAGAGCTAGTTCTAGTACTGATCCAGTTGACCTTTGAATTAAACTGAATTCTAAGAAAATAACAATCAACTGCTAGCCCAGACAAATTGTATATAAACACTGAGAGATTGAAAAGAGTTCCAAATAATATAGGAGATAGCATCTTCCCCAGTTACTATAGTTAACCTATGCCACTCAATTGCTATCAGCTGATATTTCAAACAGATAGGGGTACACAACTGTTGCTTTGGCCATAAGCAAATCAACAAGGAAGCAGGCTTTTGATTTCTCTGTATTTCTAATTCTTCAGAGGGATCCCAGCATCAGGACCTATAATATTGGACTGCTGCATACAGTTGTGATCCAGTCTTCCAACAAGTCACTCCTATGCTCACTTTGGACTTTCATAAGCGTTTGCTATTCTCCAGCTTACCTGGAATAGCCATCTGAATTGCCAAAAGTTCCACATGAGCAGGAATCAGGTTTGGTGACTACCAGGCTAATATAGAAGGAGCTTTGGTTTGGGCTATAACACGAAACTAAAGTTTACTAAGTGTTTCTTTATTCTGCCTCTTTCTCTCTCTGTCTCTCTGCATGTATAATAAAAATGGGCTGGGTTTCCAAGTCAACTGTGTTTCAAGACTCCATTATCAAAGCCAATATATGAACTCCAGGATGGTGTAATACCAGTGATAACACTAAACACTTTGCTTCAAATTATTTTTCATTTAAATATCTCTTACGCCTTTGTAGCTTCCAAAAACAGAGAGATTTGCTGCTTGATATACGGTTGCCTCAATATGCTCCTGACACTGGGTCTCTCCTCTGGCTTTTTACTAAGCATTGTTCTTATCAGTTCTTTCAACTGAGTGCTATAATCTTTTGGCATTGGTGGCAGCTGTTAAAAGAACACAGAAGAAAAAAAGAACACTTTTCATGAGCTTAAGGCATTTTCTTCATAACATTTCCTTTTACTATACATGTTAACCAAAGCTCTGGCAACACCTTTCTGAAAGAGGCTGAAAAACAGGGCTAGAACCTCTAACAGGCTATTGCAACTAATATCATCAAGAAATATTATCATTGTCTAGAACTTTTTTAAACATTTCATAAGAAACCCAGTGGGTAATGGATAACTGATTGCCATTCTGCTAAAGCCTTGGAAGAAATATTCCCAGTGTGAAATTGGCTTGTTCTCAAGGTACACTCAATTTTCAAACAATTCAATAGCACTCAATGTTTTCTGCTCCTATCACGTGCACATAAGACTACTGTTATTTTTCTCCTGCTGAATGGCTGCTCCTACTTTGCTTCTTTCTCTCTCTTCTAGACTACAGTACATCACAAATGTAAGGGAACAGTCCCATTTCAAATGACATGTTAACAACTGAAGCAGGAAGAGCATTCCATTTAAATGACATTCTTTAGATCACAATGCTGCCCATCTTCACTTGCTTATGAGATGCCTGGATGAATCGGATGGACAGAAGTCAGCAGTAACCAGCCTCACAAAACAAACCAAGATGGTTGCTTCTACCAATTTTCAATTGTTTTCCTACCAATTCTTTAACTGTTGAGGATATTATCCAACCTGAGTGTGGCAGGAAGAAATGTCTCAGCCACTTCCGACGTACATCTAATTAAACTGTATATCATTTCTGGATAGGGCCATTAACCGTCCAATGTATACACGTAAAAGAGGCAGAGTATAAAGTCTGTGTTGCCTCTCTCACTGCCTTTGAAAAGCATTTGGAAGCTTCAGCTGATACAGAATTTGGCTGTAGCATGGAGAATGGTGTTGGTTATTCAATGCATAAAACACCTCTGCTTTACAAGCTGCATTGGCTTCCAGTTGGTTCAGGTTGCAATTCAAAATCCTGGCAGTTACTTTTAAGGCCTTTCATGTCTTGGGACTATTACTTTCAGGTAATAGCTTGGGACTTTCAGCTTGGGACTATTACTGTCTCTCCGAATTATCTCTACTCATCCCATCCAGTTTGGCAGGAACACTTTCTGGATCTAAACAACTAAGGAGTGTCAACTGCCAAGAAGAGCCTTTTCTTCCATGGCGCCTACTCTGTGCAACATCATTCCTACTAAAAATAGATTGGCTTCAACCCTGTTGACTTTTCGTAAGCCCTAAAAACAATTTTGTGCCCAGGCCTGGGGCCCCAGATGTATCATGGAGTTGTTCTCTTGGTTGTGGCTGATGCTTGGCTAAGTATTTTTATTTTTATACTGTGCCTTCTATGTATTGATTTTATTGTAAACTATCTGGAATATGTAAAGTAGGTGTCCATATAAATCGAATGAAAGATGAATAAAAACACATCATGAGGGCATTTGAATGCTGCTTTCTTTTGTTAGCATAACACTAATAATGTTTTATGATGGTGCTGAATAACTGGTACTTACAACTGGTCCTTGAAGTTCCAGCCTTCCCAGCACACACAGGATCATGTAATTGTGATCTGGGCACCTGACAACCAGCTGCAGCATCCTGCAGTCATGTGATCATAATTTGCAACCTTCCCTGCCAGCTTCCCACAAGGAAAGTCAATGGGAAAGCCACCAGGGAAATTCACAAGTCTCTCCCTTCCTGCAACAACCATTCCCAGTCCCATCATGCTCACATTGCACCTCACTAACCCCTTGCCCACCTCATTGATTTTGCTTGTTGGAAGTCAGCAAGAAGTTGTGAGGAGGTCCTTGTTTAAACACCCACAACTATCACTTAATGACAGCAATGGAGAGTGCTAACAATGCTATTGCAAAGCAATGCAGTCACATGCTGTTGAGCTGTATTACCACATGGCTTACTGATGGAAATTCCAGTCCCAACTACCATCATTAACCAAGGACTACCTGTATTATTGCTAGGGAACCTGAGAGCAAATGTGGGAAAATGAATTTTCCTGAGATATTCTTTATATCAGATTCTATACATTGCTATGTATGATGCTGCATTCATCATCCATGACATGTTTTATGCCAACACAAAGAAAGCAACATTTATCAAACTTACTCAACGTTTGCTACCAATTGATTATTTGGGAAAATCCTTGCAATTCTTCATTGAAAAGGATAGCATTTCCCATATTTAACAGCATGTATTTCAATATGACTTGCAGTGTCTTTATTCTCTATGTAGTTTTCTCAAGCACAAAATAACAAGTTGGAAATTCTCTATGTGAAGGAAGCCTAGTAAATATTAGATTAAAAATATACCTTTCCTTCAATAATTCGGTAAACCAAGGAATTCATGTCTTTAGCATTAAAAGCATGCTTCAAGGTGGCCATTTCATATGCACAGCAACCCAAGGCCCAAACATCAGACTGTAAATGCAAACAAAGCACAATAATATATATACTTTTGAAAAGCCATCCGAATAAAAGCAAATGAAGTACACGTGGCCTACACAATCTATTTCACAGGTGCTCCATAAATCAAATACCTTAATATCTCCTCTTTTGTGGCAAATTGGAGATGACAATGCAGGTTTTGAAAATCCTGATGTAGTTCCAATTCCAATATATCAAATTGTCTATTTTTGTTTCCTCCAGATCAAGGGTCTCTCTATTCGAAACCAGGCCATTTGACTGGCAGGCTGGTGGCGTGCACACACTAGACCCACATGAGTGGCAGGCAGGCAGGCAGGCATGTGTACACAGTTAAGCTGTGTGTGCATGTGCATGCATGTCAGCCCACCATTTGAGTAGCTTGGTTCCCCTGTCCCCTCTTCAGCCGGGCTACCAAGCTACAAAGATTAGAGACCACTGCTCTAGATAACTACTTATAGATGGAATATTTTTAATATAATTCACTAGAATTATTCACTAGAATTATGAAAATAATGTAAACTTTATTCATATAATTATGATTAGACACGTTTGAAATAAATTGCAGGGACTTGAATAAGAAAAATATCAGGAAGGTGCATTAGAAATTATCAAATAGGACATGTTTCAAATTGTTGCTTTCCAGACCTTTTGCCAGTCCTTCTTCCAGAATACCCCATCCCATTTACTCTATCCAGCAATTTTGTCTTTTCCCTTCAAAAGACAATCGACATTCTAGATTCACTATGCATATTAAATCTCCTTAGCAGTTTCTGTCTTTGGGAATGTCTTTGCTTTTTCTTTGTAAAGCTTTTCTTGTTCTGCTTTAAGTTTGTAGTTTCACTATAAACAGTATACTAGCTGCAAAAATCCAGAGAACCACAAGGGTAGCAAAGAAATACAAATCATTTGCTCTTTGCTGCAATATATTGGTTGTCTGATTGCTGGCAGCCCAGATAGGGCATGTTTAACTAGCAAGGCTTCATCTCAAGAATGTAGACTGGTTATTTGAACATAAATACCTAAGAGATTAAGTTCATTTATATGATATACTTTACCTTGTAATTGTAAGGCTTGTTAGAGAACAACTCAGGGCTCATATAGTAAGGAGTGCCAATGAGAGTACTAGCCATATCATGCTGATTATCCAGCACTCTGGCGATTCCCAGATCTCCCACTTTGATAATATTAGAACGGGTCAGGAAAACATTTTGAGTTTTGAGATCTCTATGCAGAATGTGCTTCTCATGCAAATACTGAAAAATAAAATATTGGAATTCACAAATTAAATATCTAGTTTAGTTTCCTGACTGCATGACAAAAAAACAATTATTTAATAAACTATAAGCTCCTTGCAGAGGGACAGGACTACATTAAATAAATCTGTCAAGCTGGGGAGCCACCAATCAGTTTTGTTGACTCTGTAGATATTAATAAGATGATCAAAAGTACATCAAGAATATATTCATTATTTTCTATACTCATTACAAATATCCATGGAAACTAGTAATAGGCTTCCTAGAACAGTTCAGAAAATGATAAAACAACTAAAATCAATCCATGTAAAGGGAGGTCAAGTACCTGCAGTGCCATGGCAATCTGAACAAGCCACTCCACCACTTGAGACTCAGGAAGAAGTTGTCCTTTTCGCTCTTTCAGTTTATGATATAAGTCACCTCCTTCACAGAAGCCCATGACAATGTACAGCAAGCCATCATCTCCTTCCCAGGACTCTCTATAGGTGATTATGTTTGGATGCTTCAGCTGTGACAATAGCTGGGCTTCCTGCTCTGCTGCTTTTCTCTCGCGGCTTGAGGCATGTTTAAGGTTCAGCCTTTTGATAACATACTGCACAAACAGAAAGAAGGTTTAATCTTTTTTTTAAAAAAAGAATATTACTGTAAATGAAAGAAATCTAAAGATCAACCATGTGGGGCTGTTAAATGTGCATGGGAGAGGGAGAGAGGATGCAAAAAGCAAATAAACTTGGAATTTTATAAAAAGTGATGGCAAGGTAACCTGATAATAGAAGTGATATGTCAACCTTTGACAAAACTCTAACTGTAGCATTATCCACCAGGCAAAAAATTTTTTTTTCAAGGAAAGCAAATAATTTTTGCAAATAGAAAATACAACACCTTAAATGTGACTCTAGGACCATAAATACAGTTAAATCTCCATTCAAGGAACGGGCTCTGTTAATACTGCATGTTAGCTAAAGGCATTTCTCACAGACATTTCTCATAGACATTTCTCACAGACATTTCTCTCTAGGGACCAATAGTTCCAAGAATATCTCCAAACTGCTAGTCTGATTCTTCAAAAGTACAAACTATATCTACTAAATCCCAAAATGACATGTCTGCCGACACACAGAACCTTCATTTAATTCACACTGCACTTAATTTAATAATTTAAATACTTGTTTAATATTTTTCCCGTACTAAATTTGATATCCTTGTTTTAAAAAAAATACTTTAGAAATGTAAAGTTGATAAGGGCACGCTGAATGCATATAATAAAGAGTTGTTTCACTGTTGCCCTTGTTTTTTTGCTTTAATATATTTGTTATTTGCTTTACAAGACCAGAAATCAATAAAATTTTAAAGATTTAAGTAAATTGTTTAATTATTTATCAAAATCTTGGAGTCTCTATATCAAAAATTATGGACTGGTTTTCTTCTCCTTTAACACATATCAATTTAATATATTAGACACAAAATGAAAAAAATATATCCTGATTAGTTTTTCAGATTATTTCAAGCTTTAATAAAATCTAATTTGGTTGTCATCTAAAGATATCTTTACTAATGTCCTGAATAAAAACTGCTCTTGCAAGAAAAATAACATTTTGGAATGAACAGAAAAATTATGGATTTTGAAAAGAGTCTTAGGATAAATCCATTGAAGACTGAATGAGAACAGGAAGGGGGAGTATTGTAGCTGGAAAGCAGAATCAACAAACAAACCAAGGGGGGGGGATCCTTGATAATAAATTTCAAAATGAGAAGGAGGAATAGAATAGAATAACAGAGGTGGAAGGATGTCTTCTATCTAGTCCAACCCATGCTCAGACAGGAAACCTTACATCACTTCAGACAAATGGTTGTCCAACATCTTTTTAAAAATTTCCAGTGTTGGAGCATTCACAAGTTCTGGAGGCAAGTTGTTCCACTGATTAATTGTTCTAACTCTCAGGAAATTTCTCCTTACTTCTAGGTTGCTTCTCTCTTTGATTAGTTTCTTCTTGTCCTGCCCTCAGGTGCTTTGGAGCACAGCTTGACTCCCTCTTCTTTGTGGCAGCCCCTGAGATATTGGAACACTACTATCATGTCTCCCCTAGTCCTTCTGAATGAAATTAGACTAGACATACCCAGTTCCAGCAACCGTTCTTCATATGTTTTAGCCTCCAGTCTCCTAATCATCTCTGCATTCTTTCCAGGATCTCAACATCTTTTTTTTATAGGTGGCGGCCAAAACTGGATGCGGAACTCCAAGTGTGGAAAGGATGGTCGATCCTATTTTCACACGGAGCAACGCCTGTTGCTGTAGGAAAGCCGCCCCTTTGTGGCGCGGAGTTGTTTTTAAATTCCCCTTTGGTCGGAGAGCAAAAGCAACCAGCGACTCGCACGGGCCACCGTCCTCCATCTCCAACCCGCAAAGGCCTCCGGGGGGACAGCGAGGGAAGGAGGGACGGAGCGCGAAAAGGAGTCCACGGGAAGCGTCGCGTTCCCCCCCCCCCCGCAACACGCGTCCCGGACCCTCCGGCGGAGTCCCCTCTCCCAACAACCCCCTTCTTCCCCAGCCCGCCTTACCTGTTTGCCGTCATGCCGGTGCCGCACCAGGCTCACTTCCCCGTAGCTGCCCTTCCCCACAACCCGCACGAAAGTGTACTCGCCCAGGGGCATCTTCACGCGACCCCACACTCAGGTAGCCCGATGAGACCCGGGAGCGGGGGGGCTCCGGCAGCCCCCATCCACCCCCTGCGAGGACGCGGCTCCCGATGCCATAGAGATCACCAAACCTCTGGGTGCCATAGAGAGCACTTCTTCCAGAACGTACAAAAGGAAAAAAAAAAGTCCTTCTATTTTCTATGGTAATATTACGTTGCTTAAGCGACCATCTTGGACACGGGCAAATTTATTTCCGCGCATGCGTTCAACCCTGTTACCTACACTATTTTAACTGCTTGTCAGCCATTTTAGTTCTGGGCATTCTGGCCAGAGGATGCCGTTGAAATTGCTGGCATTTTATTTTGTTTTTTAAAAAAACAAACTTTATTAAATATACAATTAAAATAACGAACAAACACATACACAACATAGAAAAAAAGTGGAAAAGAAAAAAAGACAAAAAATAAACAAATAAAAGCAAGCAATTCCGCTATCAACAGTTTGTGGTTCCTTATTATCGTTATTGGTGTCATATTTACAAGTAAGTCTTAATGCGAATATGTAATTACTACCTCCTTTACAGTTTAACAATATTTACTAATATATTTCCTATCTTTGTTCTATCCAGTCATATCAACATTCCCAGCTTTTCTAATATTCTGATGATTCTTTATCCTTAAGTGCTAGGGTCAATTTATCCATCTCTGCACAGGTTGCTATTTTCTGAATAATCATTTCCTCTTTTGGGATGTCAGCTTCTTTCCAACACTGCAAAGGCTAATCTAGCTGCAGTAAGTATGTGCAATATTATATATTTGGCTTTTTTAGGGAATTGTCTATTAAATGTCTATTAATGTCCTACCTGTCAATGAATACTTCAGCTTCAACCATAACAACACAAGAGCACACAATAGATACAAACTCAAAGTAAACCGCACCAAACTTGATTGCAGGAAATACGACTTCAGCAATAGAGTGGTCAATGTCTGGAATACTCTACCCGACTCTGTAGTTTCTTCCCCAAACCCCAAAAACTTTAACCTTAGACTGTCTACTATTGACCTCACCCCTTTCCTAAGAGGTCTGTAGGGGGCGTGCATAAGCGCACCAACGTGCCTACCGTCCCTGTCCTATTGTTTCTCCTATTCTTTTATTTTTCTTATATGTAACCATTTCATGTATTCACAACTATGTATACATTTATACTTATTATCTTGTAAACAATTGACAAATCAAATAAATAAATAAATAAAATAAATAAATATCCCTAATACAGGTGAAACTGGAAAAATTAGAATACCGTGCAAAAGTTCATTTATTTCAGTGATGCAACTGAAAAGGTGAACCTAATATATGAGATAGACTCATTACATGCAAAGCAAGATAATTCAACCCGTGATGTGTCATAATTGAGATGATTATGGCTTACAGCTCATGAAAACCCCAAATCCACAATCTCAGAAAATTAGAATATTGTAAAAAGGTTCAATACTCTAGACTCAAAGTGTCCCACTCTAATCAGCTAATTAAGCCATAACACCTGCAAAGGATTCCTGAGCCTTTAAATGGTCTCTCAGTCAGGTTCAGTAGGAATCACAATCATGGGAAAGACTGCTGACCTGACAGTTGTGCAAAAAACCATCAATGACACCCTCCATAAGGAGGGAAAGCCTCAAAAGGTAATTACAAAAGAAGTTGGATGTTCCCAAAGTGCTGTATCAAAGCACATTAATAGAAAGTTATGTGGAAGGGAAAAGTGTGGAAGAAAAGGTGCACAAGCAGCAGGGATGACCGCAGCCTGGAAAGGATTGTCAGGAAAAGGTCATTCAAAAGTGTTGAGGACTTTCACAAGGAGTGGACTGAGGCTGGAGTCAGTGCATCAAGAGCCACCACACAGACGGATCCTGGACATGGGCTTCAAATGTCGTATTCCTCTTGTCAAGCCGCTCTTGAACAACAAGCAACATCAGAAGCGTCTTACCTGGACTACAGAAAAACAGAACTGGTCTGTTGCTCAGTGGTCTTATTTTCTGATGAGAGCCACATTTGCATCTCATTTGGAAACCAAGGACCCAGAGTTTGGAGGAAGAATGGAGAGGCACACACTGCAAGCTGCTTGAAATCCAGTGTGAAGTTTCCACAGTCTGTGTTGATTTGGGGAGCCATGTCATCTGCTGGTATTGGTCCACTGTGCTTCATTAAGTCCAGGGTCAACACAGCCATCTACCAGGAGATTTTGGAGCACTTCATACTTCCTTCTGCAGAAGAGCTTTATGGGGATTTTTTCCCCATTTTCCAGCAGGACTTGGCAACTGCCCACTCTGCCAAAAGCACGAAAACCTGGTTCAATGACCGTGGGATTACTATGCTTGATTGGCCAGCAAACTTGCCTGACCTGAACCTCATAGAGAATCTATGGGGCAATGCCAAGAGAAAGATGAGAGACATGAGACTGAACAATGCAGAAGAGCTGAAGGCCGCTATTGAAGGATCCTGGTCTTCCATAACACTTCAGCAGTGCCACAGGCTGATAGCTTCCATGCCACGCTGCATTGAGGCAGTAATTGTTGCAAAAGGGGCCCAAACCAAGTATTGAGTACATATGCACGCTTCTACTTTTCAGAGCTCCGATATTGTTCTATGTACAATCCTTGTTTTATTGATTGCATGTTATATTCTAATTTTCTGAGATTGTGGATTTGGGGTTTTCATGAACTGTAAGCCATCATCCTCACAATTATGACAAATCATGGCTTGAACTATCTTGCTTTGCATGTAATAAGTCTATCTCATATATTAGTTTCACCTTTTAAGTTGCATTACTGAAATAAATGAACTTTTGCACAATATTCTAATTTTTTGAGTTTCACCTATAGGAAGAATTCTGGTTTTAATTCAGTTTGCTCTGCCATTATTTCCTCCAACCATTTTTTGATTCTGCGCCAATATCTTTGGGCTTCAGTGCAGGACCACCAGATATGAAATGTTCCGTGTTTCTTTTTACATTTCCAGCAATTGGATTCATTTTAGGAGACATCTTAGCTGTTCTCGAAGGGGAGAGATGCCATCTATAAAACATTTTATAGGCATTTTCTTTATATGTTGCTGATTTTGTGATTTTATTATTCCTGATCCAGACCTTCCCATTCTAATAATGTAATACTACGTCCAATATTTCTACTCCAAGCCTTTGACTACTTCTTCCTCTAATTCTATCTCTAATAAATGGTTATAAAATTTGGTTATATTTTTTTCATCTGGACCTAGTAAGATTTTATCTATTGTTATAGCTTACTGTAAATTCTGAAACTTTTCTTATCCTGTCTGTATCTATTTTGAATTTGCAGGTAAACCTACCGGTCTACTCGTAGCCCTTGTTCTTGGAGATCTTGCCATGGTTTTAAAGTTCCTTGTGCATCCAGAAGGTCTTTGTATTTTATCATCTTGTTAAGATCCAAATTATTTGGATGTATCATCGCCTCCATCGTTGAGATCCAAATTGGGAATTTTAGATAATGTTTTTTTCTTTATTTTATTCCAATTAGCCAGTAAAGAGTCTCTAATTATATGTCTGTGGAAGTAATTCTGTTTGGTTTTCCTGTGTCCCATAAAAATGCATGCCACCCCCTCTGTAAGTCATGGCCTTCTAGGAATAGTATTCTTTTATTTGACAAGTTTACCCACTCTTTCAGCCTTAGTAAAGAGGCTGCGCTATGGTATAATTCCCAATTTGGGAGTGCCATACCCCCCCTGCTCTTCATATCTTGCATTGCTTTTAAATTTATCCTCGATTTTTTCCCTTGCCAAATAAATTTTGCGATTATCCTATTAAGTTCCACAAAGTAGTTTTTAAGTATTTTTATTGGTATTGTCTGGAACAAATAAATAAATTTAGGGAGAATGGTCATTTTAATAGTAGCAATCCTCCATAATAGGGAAATTTGCAATTTAACCCATAACTCTGAGTCTTTTTTAACCTGTTGTAATTTGCTATAATTATTTTACATTAGAGTTTTATAATGAGCTGTCAGCCAGATTCCTAGGTATTTAATTTTTTTTACCAGTTTTAGTCCCATTGCCTTTTCCAATTCTAATTTCTGTTTTTCTGTTAGGTTTTTAGTTATTAATTTTGTTTTTTCCCTGTTAATTTTAAGTCCTGCAACTTTCCCAAATTGATCTAGCTCTTTCAACAGTTCTTGACCTGTTTCAACTGGATCCTCTATGAAAAAGACCATATCATCCATAAATGACTTCAGTTTATATTCTTCTTTCTTAATTCTTAACCCCTTTATTCCTGGGTTCTGTCTAATTCGTGTGAGCAGTGTTTCCAAAGATAATATGAAGAGCAGGGGAGATAATGGACATCCCTGCCTAACTCCTTTCTCTATTTTTATTGAGCGCGTATACTCTCTGTTAATTATAATATTCGACTTTTGTGAGGCATAAATTGTAGTCACGATGTTTTCAAATTTAGGAAATTGCTGGCATTTTAACCCACCTGAGTTGTGGCCGATCGTGTTCCTTGCCTTGCTAGATTCGTTAGTGATGTTGTATGTCTATAGACAGCTTAGTGGAAAGACCAGGCGTGGGATATCAACGCCTTCCATATATATATTGTTCATAATTTGCTATGGGCAAATTGATTTGAATCCTATTTCATGAAAAGCTATTTATATTACAAATATTTATAATATTTAAGGAGAGCAGAACTGACTCTCTGGATGTTGTTGATATACAGCTACAATCAGAATGGTCAATGATGCAGCATCACACTAACTGGTGACCTAAAGAGCCACTGCTGCTGCACAGTAAACAGTAAACCTGAGTAGGCTTTATTTTAAAGCATATCTGCCCTGTAGGCTTAATAGTTTTCTTCTCATTCCAGGATATCACATGACAATCAAAATCTTTTCACATTTATTTGAAGTATCTCTGGAACGAAGTAAGCATACATCTTGTTCCTAAGCAAGACTTAATTCCAGCATGGATTTGTTGGGATTAATATTAGGGTTTTTTTGGCTCTTGGTCTTCGCTCAGATACATCTGGTGTGTCATTTGTATTCTATCATGGATTAAGAGACTTCCCACTGTTCCTAAGTCACTTTGAATACAGATAACTGCAACACATTGAACATGTGGTTACCCTTGAAGACCACTCA